GAACATTCTGCAGCTCTCCATGCAGGGGTGCTGCCAGACTTACCACATCAGCCACTCCTGATCTGCCTGACCTCCTGTTCCTCTGTCATGGAGGGAGATGGGATAGTCTGTGAAGCTACTTGCACTTGTTCACTGCACTGCAGAGCCCTTGGACAGGCACTCTTTCTTAACTGTTTCCCAATGAGAGCTGTGAAGTGTCCCTCAGCCCTTTTCCCCCCTGCATGTCTCTGAGAAGGAACATTGAGCCTGCCATCTAAATGGGTCCATTGTACCACCTTTGCTTTCTGGACCCAAGCCATATAATGTGGGTCTGGCACAAAACCCCATGTTTATAGGCTTCCTGCACTGTCATGGGGATGACCAGCCACCAAAGTGCTGTATGAAGCTGTGACACTGGGCTGAGAGGGATATCCCCATCCTCTCTCTCCCTGACAGCCCAGTGCAATGCCCAGTGTGGACAGGAAGGCTTGAGAGAGCAAGGAGCCTGTTGCAGGAGGTTGTGTCTCCTCTCCTCCCACCCCAACATCCACCCTTTGCAAGCATGTAGGTGCAATGGTGCTACCTGTGAATGCTCTGGACACTGAGGGATCCTGTGTGCCCCTCTCCTGCATTTCCCAGGTATGTTAGCTGGTGCCACCATCCTATGTGCACATGTCTGTCCATCCTGTGCCAGCCAAGATATTGGCAACCACATCTCCAGCGTCCTTCCATTGTTATGGCTCTGTGCTCTAGTTCCCAATGGCTCCTTTCAGCAGCAGGGTTCCTCAGGCCAGCTGTGAAAATCTGCCACAGCTCCTGGCTTGTGTCACTCAGCCTCACCTGTGAACCTGGGAGCAGGAAGTTTTCTCCTCCATTCCCAAAGAAAGAAGGAGAGTTCACTGGGCTGCTGTGAGTGGTTTATGCAGGGAAATGCAGTGAGTGGGATTACCCCTGTGCCCAAAGTTTTGCCTGCCCTGGCAAGGAAAGGCTCAAAGCACAGGTGCAGCCTGAAAGTTGGTAATTCTCTGGGGATCCAAGTTAATTTTTATCTCTAAGGAATGGATCAGGACATTCTGCAAATATCCTGGGTCTTCCTGGGACATTTCATCTGCCAGACTGCAATTGCATTGCCATTCTTTTCCACACCAAAACTAGGCACACTGGCAGGAGTTTTCTGGCTCTGTTTCAGACAGAGGACAAGTCAAGAGTCCTTTCATTCAGCCAAGTGACATAGAGACTGTGATGCAAGTACCCTAACTGGGGAGTCTCACTCAGCAGGGAAATGCAGTGAATAGGATTACTGCTGTGCCCAAAGTTATACTTGCCCTGGCAAGCAAAGACTCAAAAGAGCAGGTGCAGTCCGAAACAGATACATTTCTGTGACTTGGGGCTGTAAATGGAAATGACAAGGGGCTGGGTTGCATGGCATGATGTGCCACCCTCAGCTGCATGGCTCACATTCCCTGCCCTCTGGCACATCACAGCCATATCTCCAAACACCAGCTTGGAAACCTGCTTCCTCTCCTCAACTCCCTGATGGGTGGGATTGCTCTGTAAACAAACACAACTGAGCTGTGGGGTAGCATAAAAACCTCTCCACTGGAGGTGAGGGGCTTAGAGCAGTCAGGAAGAAGTTGAACCGGAGGAAGGGGAGCCTGCAATCACAGGGGTCCCCTCTCCCCTGCTCTGTGTTCTCCTCTGCCTGCTGCTGTACCTGTGTGGAGCTCCACTGCCCATGACTCAATGTAGAAACTGAGCAAAAGAAGACAGCAACTGGGTGAGGGTTGGATCAGAGAAAAACTAATTGTTCATCTTCTCTGGCTTACTTTGTGTGCTGTTTAGCCCTGACACAATCAGCATTAAGCCAGGTATTTTCCATGGCTATGAAGGACTATTCTGTCAGCAGTGTCAAAGGCTTCCGCAGTGGAAGTGTGTGACAAACTGCTTGGTTGATGCTTTGTTTTCCTCTTGTTCCCCCTGGGAGCTGCCTCCCTCCAGCTCTGGGCAGGCAGCAAGGAGCAGTCTGCAGTGAGGTTTCCTTTACAACAGGGTAGGTCTCCATCCACCTGGCTCCTGTACCAGCTACACTGCCGGGCTGTCCTGGAATAATTAAAGCAAATGCTGCCTGAAAACTGAGATTGTTTCTCTTCTGTGGGATCTGTGCAGCCAGAAAGACCTCAGGGAGTAGGAAATAGTCACAGATACTGAATTAAACTGCATAAAGAATCAGAGAAGATACTTATTGCTGGAAATACTACACAGTATCAGGTTAGTTTTTTTCATGTTTTCTGTCTCTTTGCCCTTAAAGAAGCAGAGAACTCACACTGTCCTGAGCTCTGCCTTCCACCAGCATTCCCAATGACTTGATGTGGGTCATTGGATGGTGATTCCTCTTCCTCTTCCCTCAGCCCTGGTCACCTGAGGTCATGCAATCATTGTCCCTGCCACACTGTAGGTGCTGTGGGTGCCTGTCTCTCCTTCTCTTTGCTCCCATTTGCCCATGAAACCATTCATATTCTCATCCCATCCCACCAAAACACCTTTCTCCTTTCCTCCTTGTTTATTGTGTTGCCCTTCAAAGCCTCTTACAGTGAGGAAGGTGTAAAGTGGCAAGCTGAATCCCTCTTGACCCTGAAAATGCCACAAAGCTGGAAAAATTAAGAAACAATCATAATAATGATGATAATGAAGAAGCAAAAGAAAATCAGAATAAGCGAAAGAAGCAACAACTTGGACAAACATCCAAAAAGTGACCACTGAACTTGTGCAGTGGGATATAAATTGTTGCACTGGAATATGCCATTTGAGGGGGAAAAACTAAGAGAGGAAGGGAAAACATTTCAAAAATTCAAATATTTTTAATTTTTTTTTTTTAATCACACCCAGTGTCCTTGGAAGCAGGCAGCACAGGCCTGACCTGGCCTCTGTATCACTCCTCCACCTCCTGCCATGGGAGCCGGCCAGGGGGTCGTGTTGTGGAGCTGCCCATGCTGTGGAGCTGCTGGTGGCGGAGGTCAGGAAGGTGCTGGTCATTCTCAGGAGTGGCCATGGCACCCAGCGTGGGAGCGAGCCATGCCGGCCACAAGAGCCCCATTGTCCCGCTGGAGGCGGGCTGGCCGGACAGGGCTGGAGGTGGGCGCTCGAGCATGTGGGTGACAGCAGCCCCAGGGAGCTCTGCATCCCGAGACACCACAGCCCTGACAGCAGGGACGGCCTGGGCCCAGCCCGGCCGGCACCCCCTGCCCTCGCACCTCCGCTTCCAGCCCGCAGCCAACCATGGAGGAGGAGATCGCCCTCCCTCGCAGCTGCCTGTCGGCCCCCGGCAGCCCCAGCGGCCCCAGCCGCATCCCGGGCCCCTCACGGCGGCGGGACGGCCCCCTGGCCGTGGCTGCCCCCACGAAGCGGAGCTGCCTCTCGGTCACGCTGCGCCGGGCGGCCGGGCCCGGGGGGCTGCCCTGGGAGCGGCTGCGGGGCCCGGCCCCGGTCACCCCGATCCCCCCGCGGCCCCGGGCCGTGGCGGCCGAGGGGCCTCAGCGACACCGCAGCTCTGACGGGACCGAGGCCACCCCGGTGGCGAAGATGGGGCTGTCCTACGCCCCACTACGCTCCGGTGGGTCTCTGCTGACGGGAGAGGCAGAGGGAGGGAGGGAGGGAGGGAGGGAGGCACCAAGGGGTCCCTTGGCGATGACATGAGCCCAGCATGGGGCAGGACCCTTCAGGAGAGGTAGGGTGATGAGAGGGAGGACAGGGGCTTCCTCCCCTTGGAGGGATTACCTCTTGACCCACAGCAGAATCAGGGGTGGGGAGCAGCTGGTGCGGGGACAGCCCGTGTGCTTGTGAGCCTGGCGCCCAGCAGGGAGATGGGCAACTGTGTTCGCCGTGCCAGGACATTTTCTGGGTGCCGGAATGCCTGCCTGCCTGTCTGTCTGTCGGAAGCTAGTCTGTCCACTGCTCAGCCTAGCTCGGGGTAACTGCTGACAATTACTTCTAAATGTTCCTGTAATCTGCAGTGGGTGCAGTTTTCTTTTTGTCCCATAGCACTGCAAAAACAGGAACCCCAAACCCCTGCCAAGTCTGCCAGGCATCCCACAGCCTGGTCCCCACCCAGGGGCGTTGTCTTGTCGTGGAGGAACACGTGGTGCTCCTGTCATCCCGCTGACTGGAGGATCACAGCATTCCCAGGTGTTGATGCCCCAGCACAGCATGACAGGGACACAGTGCCTGTCGGGGCCAGGGCTCACAGATGTAGGAGAAGGACATGCAAAGCAGGGAAAGGGCATCCCCCTCCAAAGATACAAGCAGCCAGAGGCAGCCACACGGCTCTCCAGGCACAGGTATGTCCACGGGGCACATGGAGGTGCCTGCCAGAGCACAGGGGGATGTGACCTGTGTACCCCAACATGGTCCAAGTGGGAGGACCTGTCCCTGCTCGCCACACGCAGGCACACACAGCTTTGTACACACAAGCACGCAGAGGGGACAGCGCTGGCTCTGCCTCTGCTCCTTGGGCTGACAGACAGCAATCACGGTGCTGGAGGAGAAAAGATTTCTCCCACCTTCACAGCAAAGCTGAAGGGCAAATCGCTTTTGATGAACCAAAACATTCTCAATTTCCTCCCTCTGGGAAAGCAGGAGATTTTGCAATCCCCTGATCCTACGAAATACCTAGGGGCAAAGAGCGCCCTTTCTCAGCCCCGCCGGAGCTAAGCTGTAAAGGGTTAAATATGCCCCTCCCTAAACAAGCAGAGATGCTGAAAAGGCTGGGGAATTGGGAGGGAAAAGGGCAAGAAAAGGCCTGGGGGGTGTGGGTGTGCAGTGAGGGCCCCTCCAGGACATGGGGGCCCCATCGGCAGCGGCCCCTCCAAGCCCGAGGCCATGCCCCCCCCCGCAAGTCAGGGAGGCTGCCGGGGGCCTGGGATGGAGCCGGGGGCCTGGGATGGAGCCGGGGGAGGGTGCGCGGGGGGAGATTTTGCGGAGATGTTTAATATTCAGGTCACATGACGATGGCAGCAGGAGCAGCACCAGCATCCCCGCTCTGCTGAAATAGCCGCTGGAGAAGGAAGGGAAAGAGAGAGGGGGGAGAAGAGGACACAGGGAAGAAAGACAAAGGTAAAAGCAAGTGGAGCTTTGTAGCCCACCGTGCTGCTTCATCAGCGTCAGGCTAGAAAAGTGGGGGGAGACCCACCCCCTTGGGAGAGGATTCGGAGACAAAGGAAGCTTCATGTTCAAAGGTAGGATGCTCCGGGCTTGGCAGGGCTGGGCAACGCCAGAGGGACACCGCTGGGGCTTTTTGCGCAGGCATCCTCGGCCGTGCCCCCACGCTGCCCAGCTCTGGGCATGGGGGAGGGATAACCCCGGAGGGCAGTGGGGGAAATCGGTCTCGGCTTTGTCTTTCCTGTTTGTTCTCCTTGTGTGAAGAAGGAGCAGGGCTGGTCGTGGTGCTGATGGGGAGTAGCTAGTGCCAGGCACTGCTTTGAAAGGAAGGGATAATCCAGCTGGGGAGTGCCCACAAACTCGGCACCTGGCTTATCCCTTGCCAGTGACAGGCAGTGGGGATGTCCTGTGCCTCTCCCTGAGCATCTGCACAGGAGCCAGCAGGCATGCAGGCAGGGGCACAGGCAGCTGTGGTGGTGTGGCTGCCATGGTCCAGGGGTGCTCAGCATCCTCTCGCCTTGTGATACAGCTGTGCCACCCAGGGGGTGAAGTGGGACATGGGACAAGGATTGTATGGCTGGAGAGCAGCACCAAGGGCATGGCTGGGGCTGTGGTGGCTGGGCTGGGATGTGCCCAGCTCCTTCACCTCCAGCTTCTGCATCTCCAGAGAGGCTTCGGCACACGCTGCCCTAGATTTCACTGCAGCCGGGCTCTTGCCCAAGCCTTTTGCAGAGTGCTGAGGGGAAGAAAGGTTGCTGTCAGGAAAGCTGCAGCAGCCCAGAGGATTGGGGTGATCTTCAAGCCAGGCAAAAAGATCTGGTAAGAAGAATGGTTCTGTTCTGTACTCTGAGGTCAGGCAGTACATCCGGCAGGGCTCAGCCATTGCACTGCACAGCTGAAAGAAATGCCCTGGGGTCATCATAGGAACTGAGGAGGGAAAGGTTTTTTCCAGTGGAGAGATGCTCAGTCCAGCACCTCTGCGGATCTGAAGCAAAGCAAGGAGCAGGTCCTGATGGCTATGAGCTCCAGGGAGGCTGTACTGCTGAAGCAGCTGCTTGCTTTCTTTCCTAGGAACCTGGCATCACCCTTTGAGGGCCTGCTTCTGCCAGCCACCTTCACGTTTTGAACCCATTCCTCCTCCCTGTTCCATGTCTACATGTAGACATGTCTACATGTAGACATGGAACAGGGAGGAGGTCCAGGACCGTATGGGTGGAAGGGGCTGGGGTGAGATGGGAGTGAGGATCACTGCCTCCAGCTGCAGAGGGACAACCTTGTGCTGCACCAGAGGAGAGCTGCAGCGAGGCCATCCATGTGTTACGTGGGGGTTAAATAGCTTTTCCTTGCTGGAAGCTGGTTTGTGGTGAGCACTGTTTGCAGCTCTCCCTCCCTCTTGCCAGACAAAGGATGGGAAGGCAGGGGGAGGGGATGCGACTGTATCTGGGTTATCAGGACATAGTTGATGTTGGTCCCCACTACCTGAGCCCCCAAGGGACCTGCAGGGCCACCTCTGTCCCCACACAGGTCCTGTGAATGCCAGAGCATGAAGGGTGGTACATCAGTAGTGGTGTCTGCTGCTGGCCACAGATGCCGGCCTTCCAGGAGGAGGTTCTGGGGTGGATCAGTGGCTGTCAGAAGCAGGAGCTAGCTGGGACCATGGGGACCTCTCTGGGCACTCATTCTGGTTCTGCCTGTCCCTGCTTCAAAAGCTGTGCCGTCCCTTGATCCAGTCACATGGAGCATCTCCTGTGAGCCAGATATTATTCCCTAGTAGCCCAGCCCAGGGCCACCTCATACTGAATCTGGGCAGCAGGGGGGTATCACCAGCTACAGCCCTCTTAAATGAGCTTCTCTTAGCACACAGAACAAAGCAGCAGGGAAAAGGGGGGCCTTGTAAACAGCATATGTAAGTGGTTAACCTTGGCTAGCCCTCTATTCATTATCAGCTGTAGTGTCCTCTCACTCAGTCATTACAGGGAACAGCTGCAAGGGCTACAGGATGTGCCCAAGACACAGAATGCCACCCCTTGATCAGCCACTCAGTGTGCTCAGGGGGCTAGAACCATTAGCTTTAGTGCACATAAAACAGAGCCACTCCCAGGAGAGCAGGCAGGCATGTTTCATGTCTCAGGGACAGCTCTGGTCCTGGTTTTGCACACGCCAGCAGGCTGTTCCTCAGCTGGCTCCTTGAATTCATCTGTGGGAGGCAAAAGGTAAAAAGTCATGTGCAGAAAGATGAACCCTGGGCAAATTTCTGCAAAATGGGGGCTTCCCTTCCTGAGGCTTTATGGGAAGGAACCCCACACAGAGAAGAAGACAAGTGACCTAGAGGAGAAAAGCAAGTGGCTTTCTCCTAGTCTCAGGATTTTCTATAGCTGCCCAAGAATGTGAATCTGAAATATCTGCCCTAGTCACTGCAAGCTCCTGGCTCCAGCACTGAAGCTTGCAAAGGAATGGTCTTGTATTATGATGTCCACAGCAGTTAGCAACATCTCCTTGCTCTGGGCAAGGCTTTCCTTGGTGAGATTGAGGGATGAATTATGAACCTCTTAGTGAGCCTTGATGCTGACAGCAAATTCCCTCCTTCCTCCATCCTGTGTAAGAACAAGGGTTGAAGGAATAAAGGAGAGGGCGACAGATTCCCTGAACACAAGCTACCACCCAGGCAGTGAAAGGGTCACAGCCCACATGGCCCATGTTCTGCACCCATCCCGTGCAGCTGCTCAGCTGGGCTTTCTTCCCATCTTGACCTGTTCCCTTCTACCTTTGGAGTTTATTTGCCCCCATTTCTCCAGTAGCCAAGTGCCTCACTGGGGCCACAGCCCCCTGTCCCTAATTCCCTCATTTTTCTGTTTCTCTCTCTTCTCCCACTCTGAGGGCTAGGTAGGAGCCCAGCAGGGCTGTGTGGGGTGTATGTGGAGGACGGTGCAACAGCAAAAGGGACACAGCACAGCCACACAACCATGATACAGGATATAGGTGATGCGGGCAGCCTGGCAGAGAACGAGTGAAGGGTAGGGTGCAGGAGAACCGGCTGGCCTGGTCCCCTGTGCTGCACCAGAGAGATGGGCTTTCCTGGCTCACATCAGCTTTGATAAATCTGAAAAAAGACAACGGGAGCCTCAAGGGATGCTTCGTCAGCAGGAAAGGCACATACTAGTTGTGATGGGTGTGAGAGAGGATTGCAGCTGAGAAGCACTTGGTGTGGCAGGCTGCCTCCTCCAGCAGCTGCCTGGCAGCGTGAGGTGCTCCAAATTGCCAGTCTGACTCAAGCCAATGGTCCATCTTGTGCTCTGGTTGCCCCAGGGTGCTGCTTGCTGCTTCAGGAGAGGCTGATGATAGTCCAGGGTGCCTTCACTCGGTGGGGGAAAGCAGGAGGGGGGCCATCCTGCCACTGACCTCTCCTGTATGGGCAAGGTGGAACAGAGGTGGCACAAGAGCCTTCAGATGTTACCCACAGTGCTGTACATGAGTGGCTGTGCTACCATCGTCTCACACGGGGGAAAACTCCTTCTCCCAGTATAATATAAAAGACTTCCCAAGTGGTGAAAAGGAGCTGGGTGGAGGCACCCTTCTCCCTGTCAAGGGTGACCCTTCCAGAATGTCTTTCCTTAGCACATGACAGTGGGATATTGCAGCTTACAAAAAATGTAAAATCTTCACTGTGTAGAGCAGCCCTTGTGTCAGCACCGGAGCTTTTATGTGGGAGTGCCAGGCAGGGTCCCCATTCAGCCATGGAGCCTGCTCCAGCCTGACCCTGTCCTTGAACAAAATCTCTCTGACCTCTTCTCAGTCTGTCTCTGCCTGGCTTGACTAAGCTGTGACAGGAACCCCAGATTGGTGCCATCAATTTCACCAGTCCAGCGACTTCTGAGTCATTTTCCTTGTGAAGAGAGGCATGTGTCACCACCAAATGGCAGTCGCCTGCCTAGCTGCTCATGTTCTTCTCTGCTGCCAGTGGATTCTGATAAGTGGAGAAAAAAACCTCTGCCAAAATGATGGAAAGGGATAATTTAGTGTGAGATACTTGAACTGAAGTGGCATCCAAAACAAATGAAGTACTTACCAAGCAAAAATGCATTCTGTCTCTATCCTGGAAAAATAACCCTCTAATGAGACAAAGCATGGGGGAGTCAAGTAATTAGAGTGGAGAACTCTAGTTTGCAGCTGGCTTGTATATGAAAGGTATTTGATTCCTATCCCCTTCATCTTCCTTTCCAGATTCATCCCTCACGCCTGCCTTCCCCACCAATTAGAGCTTTTCTTCCATGCCCTGTCCTCTCCCAACCTCCGCTTCCTCCCAGCGGGTGGGAGCTACTCATTAATGAGACAGAGATAAATGGGTGAGGCCTGCCCCTAGCAATGTGTGCCATCACCCAAAAAAAGGTCAGGGAGGCTGGAAAGGCCTCAGGGTTTTCTTTTTACCCTATTGTTTTACATGGAAGAAGTGAGGAAGCAGAGATGAGGAGGGACAGATGCAGATAATTAATTTTCTGATCATGATGATTAGTTTCTTGAGTATGACAAAAACCATTGGTCTATGGGTGGGAGGCAAGCACAGAGATTATGGCCATGCTTTCACTTCCACCACTGTCTTCCTCTGAGGAACTCAGCCTGTGCAGGAACACAGCCAGTAATGCAGCCACCTCTGGCAAGGGCCAAGCATGCAAGTCCTTACGGTACATCCCAAAATCTGTTTCAATGCCAGGACTTGACACATAATTTTTTAAAGTCTGTTCCATCACAAATTTATGGTGAATTTGGAGGGGCAAAATGCTGATGATCCCATTGAGAACTGGGAGATGAAAATAAGGAGATGCACCTGGAGCTTTGGGCACCCAATTATCAGCCCAACCATCCTTGCTGCCCCTGCTCCTGCTGTTTAGAGGGAGCCATCAATACGCTGCATTCCCAATGAAACCCCCTTCACCTCCTCATCTGGAGCGGGACACAGAAGAGTGTGCTGGAAACTCAAGTAGATGTTGCTCCGTGATGAGCCTTACCACTAAAATCTTGACATTCAGTTATCCTCAATAGCCCTTGAAAAGGCTGCTCAATGCTGCCCTCAGCCACTGTGACAGGTCAGCAAGGAGGCTGTTGTTACACCTCAATGATGATTTTTCAATCTTTGTCCCCATGCAGGACCAGTGGACAGCAAAAACGAAGCAGCCATGTCTGAGCTGGTCCCAGAGCCACGACAAAAACCAGCCGTACCAATGAAGCCCATGGGCATCAACACCAGCTTGCTGGGCTACATCGGTATCGACACCATCATTGAGCAGATGCGCAAGAAAACCATGAAGACAGGTTTTGACTTCAACATCATGGTTGTAGGTAGGCAGAGACCAGCTGAGGAACTGGGAACCATGGCCAGGGACTGTCCCAGGGACTGAGGCCAGGTGGGAGAGCAAGCCCTGCTGGGAGGGCACAAGGGAGCAGGCAGAAGTTGCTCTGAGGGAAAACAGAGCCTGCACAAGGCAAGGAGACACCTCCAGCCCCTTCCCCTGTCAGCCTGGCTCTGTTCCTTGGGCCTGCTGTCATCACCAGGCTGTGGCAAATGCAATCTCTGCAATCTCTTCCTCTCTGCAATCTTCAGGTCAGAGTGGACTGGGAAAGTCAACACTGGTGAACACCCTCTTCAAATCCCAGGTGAGCCGTAAATCTTCAGGCTGGAACCGGGAGGAGAAAATCCCCAAGACAGTGGAGATCAAAGCCATTGGGCACGGTAAGAGCCAGGCTGCTGGGGCGGAAGCAATACTGATGTCTCGGCATAGCCTTGCAGAAGATCCCAGCAGTCTATGCAAAGAGTTCTTTGGTATCAGGCAGCCCTTTCTCCATAGGAAGCTAAAGGACAGTTTTAGATGGCCTCAGAGACAGACAAGGCTCTCCTTAAACTGAAAGGCCCCTGTTGCCACAGCCAGAAGTGAGGGGTAGACAAATAGAGAGACTTCACTAAGACATTAGTCTGCAGTTGTGGATTAAGCCTTGCTGTAAGTCATGTTCACCTGCAGTTACATTTGATAAGCTACACAAGTTGCATTGTTGGTTCCCATCCCAAGCCTGGTAGTGCACATCTTCTCACAAAGCATCAGAACAACTCCTGGGGTGGTGCAGGGTAATGAGCATCATCTCAGATTCAGGATGATGCATTAGAGGGGAGAAGTTGTGTTAGGGTAGGTACTCCCTTCGGGCCACTGACTGAGCACGAATCCATTTTCCTGTGACAGAGTGGTGTAAGGTGGCTTTTGTGTCGATATTACCAAAATTTGGGGTCAGACATGGAAATGAGGGTCACAATTGTTGAGGCATGACACAAGCTGGTCTGATTATGCTTGCTGGGCAGGGATGAGGGCAGAGCTCTCTTGTTCCCTTGTGGGACACAAAGACATGTTTCATGACAGAGCAGGTCCCCAGGGAGGAGTATGATTGTTTGCAATTTTCCCCCAGTCATTGAAGAAGGTGGTGTCAAAATGAAGCTGACAGTGATTGACACACCAGGATTTGGAGACCAGATCAACAATGAGAACTGGTGAGTTTTACAAGGTCAAGGCCTTGTGTCTCAGAAAGGGCTGAAGTTAAGATGGTATATGAGTGACTGTCATCTGCTTGGCCCTTGAAAGCGTCTGGGATCCTATTGCTCTTGGGGACTGATAATGAGGCTGTGGGACTGTGAAACCATGGGTCTGTGTGTGTGACTGGGGGTATGCACATATTACATGGTGAGTGCTTATTTCTATGGCCAGTTACAGAAACTCTTAATCATCTGTGCTGATGGCGAGATGCTTCAGGTGGATTTTTTTTAATGCCTGAGACTGTTTTGCTCCTGTCAGAGCTGGGAACACTGTGGGCAGGAACACGAGGAGATTTGTACCAGTCTATTCATCTCTCTTTCCCACTCTAACAGCTGGGAGCCTATTGAGAAATACATCAACGAGCAATATGAAAAGTTTTTGAAAGAGGAGGTGAATATTGCAAGGAAGAAACGAATTCCAGACACACGCGTGCACTGCTGCCTCTACTTCATCTCTCCTACAGGGCACTCGTATGTACACTGTCCCTTGTCCTTCCTCCAGCCCTTGGTGCCAGCCCTCTGTGCCAGATATACACCCTACACTGCTGCGCCTCAGACATGGATCCAGCAGGACTGGGCACTGTTTAGCCTAACTTTGGGAGCTGTGGGGCTTGAAAGGGTCTAAGATTACAAGAGTGGGAGAAATGCCACTGTGGTTTTTGGGAGAGGGCAGAATGGATGGGAAGAAGGAGATGAGAACATGGTGGCAGCAAGCAGGGTATGTACAAGGGAGGGTTCACTTGTGCCCTGGTTCTTGGACAGTCATTAGGATGAAAAGCTGGGAGGGTAAAAAGTGACCCCTTCCATCTTGTTCCCTCTTGGGCTGCAGTTTGCGGCCTTTGGACCTGGAGTTCATGAAACATCTCAGCAAGGTAGTGAACATCATCCCAGTTATTGCTAAGGCTGACACCATGACCTTGGAAGAGAAGACTGAATTCAAACAAAGAGTGAGTATCTCCTCTTCTGGATGGGATCCTTCCCTGCCCTGGCTTGGAGGTGGGAGAAATGGGTGGTATCCTTCTTCCTGGGATGGCAGTGCAGTCCCCAGGGTGTGCACAGAGTCCAGTGCTGGGTTGCTGGGTTAAGTCCTAAAGATACTGCTGTTTATATTTCTGAGGGCATCTGTTAGAGAAGGAAGAAATGTGTGTATCCTTGTGATGTCTTGTGATATGTTCTGTCATGGGAACTGGAGAGCCAGACAAGTAACTGAGGTTGGGAAACAGACTCATCATTGCTGCCTTGTGTTCTCACTTTACTGTGCACTTCCTTGGGACTATCCCTCCAGCTTCTGCCCACTGGAAGGATGTCCCAAGATGTACTTGCCAACTGCCTTCCCTTCAGGTTTGTGCTGCTTTGTGCTCCAAAATGTCTTTCTGATTAGGTGCGCAAGGAACTAGAAGTAAATGGGATCGAGTTTTATCCCCAGAAAGAATTTGATGAGGACTTGGAGGATAAAACAGAAAACGACAAAATCAGGGTAGGAAACATTTTATTGTGGGAGGGGAAGGGTGGATGAGGAGGGCACCACATTTTGTTCTGCACTTCAGCATTATTGCCCTCACATATAAGAAATAAACTGCTTTTTAATCTCCATTCCTGTGGTAATTGCAGTCTCTTTCCAGGGATATCTGTAAAGCAGAGTAAAGCAGCAGTGAACAGCTGCACAACCCTATGGATCACAGAGTCTCCTGCACTCTGTACTCTGGAAACAGATAGTTTCTCCCTGTGCTTAGAGATATCTGGGTCCCCAATAGCTTCACCTACTGTCCTACTTCCCTGGAAAGCTGCATACTTACTCCATTTCTGGCTTTCCTCGGTATATTTCAGCCATTAAACTTGATGAGTGTTCATGTGGCTTATGGGGAAGGATTATTTGAGTCCCATCTTTCTATTGTAAAGAACTACAAATCTGTCAAGAAATACTCACCTTGAACTATCCGTATGAGCAGCTTTGGGCTGACAGATCTTCCTTCTCTGGTCATTCCCCTCCTCAGAAATGCTGGAGATAGGTGCAGAAAAGCTCTGCCCCAGCTCCGGAGCCCTTGGCACTGCTCCAAGCTACCCACACAGCTTGTTGGGGTGCAAGAACACCTGGAAAGCAAGAGTCCAGAATTCTAGGGATAGCACTGAGGGGTGAAAAGGACAGCCAGTGAAGTTTTGCTCTGGAGAATCTCTTCCCTTGGAGAAGGCCTTGTGTTTGTTGAGCTGAGAGGTGGAAAGGTGGATGGGGAACCATGGTGGTGCTTGTCTCTGGAATGGGTTCAATGGATCTTTCCATGTGTCTCTCCCCAGCAGGAAAGCATGCCCTTTGCAGTAGTGGGCAGTGACAAGGAGTACCAAGTGAATGGCAAAAGAGTCCTGGGCAGGAAAACACCTTGGGGAATCATTGAAGGTAAAAAGCCTCTTGCTTATGGGAGCTGAAAGTATTGTCTGCAGATCACAGTAATAGACAAGGGTCCAGATAGCATGTCCTGTGGCTACCTTTCCATCCCATTTGTGACAAACTGCTTGAAACCAGCCAAAAGGAGAATTCTAAAATACCTGTGTCAGGAGGGAACTGCCATGGTCAACATGGTGCCACTGTCACCACCTGGCAGAAGCTGGAGCCACTCTGAACACCATGGTGTGTGAAGCTAAGCTCCTGAGGTTGCCTTGGTTTTCAAATGAAAATTCATGTGTGACTGCTCAGTATCTCTTAGTGTGTCTCCCCAATGCTCAACAGCGTGGCGTTCAGACAACTGTCTGTCCTTTCTGAAGCATGCAAGCTCTACCCACTTGGAACCTGCCCCCATGGCAGTGACTTTCCCATGCTCTATAACCACAAAGGGGCTGTTAAAAATCAAATGTAACAATTGCTTGCTTTCTTTTCAGTGGAAAACCTCAATCACTGTGAATTTGCCCTACTTCGAGATTTTGTCATCAGGTAAGGTCATGGTCATGGACCAGTTTGCTTTTGATGTGCTGGGAGTCTTCCTGAGATCCAGTCAGAATGAAATAGCCCCTACTAAAAGGGAAATAAAGTAAATTTCAGGCAGTGAAAGCTTATGTGGTATAGGGTTGGATAGAGTTAAAGGGTAGATATTCTAGTGCCTCTCTTAGTGACACTGTGTCAGGTAGGTGCTAGTTTTCATGTATGAGCTGGATGCCTGGAGAAAAGCAGGATACTACCACCCCTCATAAGGTTGCAAAAACTCCCATTAAGGGAGTTTAAAAAAATCCCATTAAGGTTGCAAAAACTTTTATTTGCTGCTGACAACAGGTCAGTAATAAAGAGGTCACTACCACATCCTAGATTGTTTTCTTCCAGGTTGAAGGATGTGCTAGAACATATGAGCTGGAAGTGAAAATCTTCATATTTCAATAGCTTTCATTGTCCTGTCTTATTTCTACTCTGTTTCATGAAGCTGCCTCAGCACAAATTCTGCAGGAGAGCTGTAGATTCAGGGTGACCTCTCTTCCCTATAAAAAGAGAAATACAGTTCAAAACCAAAGCCCTGTGGCTATTTCCACTTGTGGGTATGGTGCTGTTGAGACATTTGGCCAGGTATGATGCTTTGACATCACCCTACTTTCCTCTTTTTGTTTTGTAATACCTTCTGCAGCAGAGGTGCTTTTCCAAAGTCTTTCAGTAAAAACATCCTACCCAAATGATCATCACAAAGCCTGTAACAATCCAAGCCCCCAAGCTGTGTGTGGAGGTCAGGGATGATGCTCACAGCAGTGTTCTGCAGCTTATGATCTGCAGTGAACCTGATACACCTCCTGCTGCTTCCTTGCCTCACCACTGCTTCAGATAAGCCCCAGTCTGCTCTGACACACCAGGAGGGCCAGTGGCTGGGCCAGTTGCACAGGTGAGAGAAGGGCAGAGCACTGGCAAGCACAGCCAGGAACTTCAGCCCGTGTCCTGCCTCCTGCCTGTGTTCTCAAATGCTGATGCTCTAGCTCTCAGTTGTGTATGATGGCACCCATGCTATCCATGCAGAAAGAGGGGCAACAGTAATTAGCGAAACTGACTGACTGAAAAAATCCTCCATCTATTTTGGGAATAAAATTATCATCAGAAGAATAATACTTACTGTGCTGATATTGGCTATCATATCTTCTTTCCCAACCTACTTTGTCCTCTTTAGGACCCACCTTCAGGACCTAAAAGAAGTGACCCACAACATCCACTATGAGACCTACAGGGCCAAACGGCTGAATGACAACGGAGGGCTGCCCCCCATGACTGTGGAGACAGAGGAAAACCACGAAAGTAACCTGTGAAAGAGCCTCCCCCTCCACGGTCACCTGGTGACTCTGGCCAGACAACCCACCCCTGCTACCCCGGCTCAGCCACGGGCCTGTCTCTGCAGCACGTGGGAGTGAGAGGATGCGAGTGTGAGTGTGTGCGGCGTGCGTGTGCCTCCCTGTGTGCCGGACAGGGACAGGGCATCCCCCCGGCCCTCCCAGAGTGTCCCCATCCTCGGTCTGTTTGTGCACAGTGCACTGTCCCCCAGCTTCCCTGCTCTCCTTTCTGTGTCTCAGCTGTGTATCCTGTCTGGGGGAAATAGTGTTGGGGGGGAAGGATTTCTAGGGGCGTGGATTTTGGAGGGGGGAGGTGTGGGGCATGCTGTAGTCCTGTTTTTATCACTTGGACACAAGGCAAGGAGAGACTCTGGGAGAGATGGTGGAGTCAATGCATGCATGTTTCAAGAGATGCAGAGATTTCTCTTGGATCTTCCCTGGGTGTAAAGGCAGCTGGTTGGTCTGAGGGCATGGTGGCCTGGCAATTAATCTCCTTTTCTTGCTGTGGCTTCCCAAGGGGAAATGGCAGCTTGGAACAGGGTAGATGAGAGAAGACTGGCACTGTTTTGTGGTTCAGAGCAAGTGACTGGTGGGAGGAGACAGAATTAGTTCTTGGCCTGTAGCATCTGTTTGAGAAGCATCAAAGTACTTGGGGAAAATGGATATATTTTCCAAAAAAAGCAAAACCCAGGGGGAAAGAATGTGTTCCTGCTGCAGAGGGTGCATTTGCCCTGCCCAGCATGAAGGTCAAAAGCCATGCTTATGTCACAGGCATTCGACTCTGTGCAGATCAGACCAAGCTGTGCTGGGGTCACCCCAGCTCAGGGAGTCACCCCATGGCCCTGCTGCAGTGGTCTCTCTCCAGCAGCACTGAGCAGGTCCTGGCCAAACCCTTCCCCACAGATGGCCCCTCTGCTGTGTGAGCACAGGGAGGACAGTGCCACAGGAAGTCCCTGCTGGGACCTCCCCCAGGGACAGCTCCACTCAGCATACCACCTTGGGGATCTTGGAGGAGTGCAAAGAGCCATGGATTGAGAAGCACTGGGCCAGGGTGGGGCACAAGAGATACCTCTTCCCCATTCTCCTCATTGAAATGGCTGCATTTGCTACTGTAGCAGTGCTGTTCCTCTGCTCTCTTACTGTGCCATGTCCTCCTCCACTCCTGTGCTTTTGTCCTCATTCCCTTTTAGCCCTCCATAGCTTTCTTCCTTCTTTTCTTTCCTGTTTTTTATCCTTTAAGTCTCTCCTTCATTTCTCCAAGTACTTGAATATTCCTCTTCTCCAGGCTGTTTCCTCCTTCTCCCAACTCTCACACCTTCTTAACAATGTGCTTTTGTGTCCTGTTGAGAAGCTGTTGTTTTACCTTTCCCTGGAGGGGATGGGGAGGGAAGGTAAAGACCTGTGAGCAGAAAGAGGCACAGTCTGGGTGTCCCTGAGAGAGGTCAAAAGTGTCAGGGCTGTCTGGGCAGAAGGAAGGAGGGGAGAAGACCAGAGATGTCCTGAGGCTGGCAGTGTCTGCCTGTCACGTGGCTGGTAGGGGCTGTCCCCTCCAGGAGAGTTGCCAGCCACACTTAAAACGCACACTTGGAATGCTGTGGCCTGGCACTCAGCAGGAGGAAATGCAGGGCTTGGGATGGGGGTTGGAAAGGCTGGCACTGGAGGGAGGAGGAAGAAAACAGCAAATGAGCAGCAGAGGAAGACTCAAGTCAAACTTGATGTTGGTTGATGGAGCTGTGTGGGGGCCAGGGCTGGCAGTGGGGTTCTCCAAGCCTTAGCAAAACTGTCAGGAGCGTGTGTCCATCGTGTGGCTTTCTCTGGTGATGTCACTGCAAAGCAAAGGTTCTCTTCACTCTCACTCCCACCTGTCCACACAAATCAGCCATTCTCAGCAGCACTGGGACGTGAGGGCCATTCCAGCACTTCCTAGTCCTTTCCCCACCCACGTTCACAGCTCCTGGTGTTCCTGTATGCAGTGTGTGCATGCAACCTCCCCCTGCACCAGGCTCCTCGGTCCTGCAGGGAGCAGGAGCCTTGTCACTGGTGCCAGCAGCCATTCCATGGACCCCTGCAGAAACCATGTGGCCACGCTGCCACCCATGCTGCCACACAGCTGGCCCTGCTCAGCCCAAGGACATCAAAGATGTGAACCTCATCAAAGACACTGCCAGGGCTCTGCTTCTTCACAGCACTGAAGCATGAAGCCACGTCTCATCCCTTCACCCTGGGCTACAGAATAGTAATCTTTATGACTTTTGGGCCCAGCCAAGTGTTAGGGCAGAGATGCAATGCTGCCCTGCTTAAAGAAAGCAAAACAGACCCACGCAACAGAAGAGAGAGACTTTCCTTTGCCTGCAATGTGGATTTCAAGGACAAGGTTGTGTGTTTTGCCCTATAGGTTTAGGAATTTTTATTTCTTTGTAATAACGTGGTTTTTACACCCTGCTCTGTAATTTCTTGTCGGATCATAGACTACTTTTAAATGATCCGTAAAAGCTTGTGAGAAAAACATGCTCAGGTACTCCTCACTGCCATCTGCTCATGCCGATATCCTACCAGGAAGTTTACAAAGGGCAAATACAAAAAAAAAAAAAAAAAGAAAAAAAAATCCCACGTGGCATGACAAATGACAACGGGAGATACTGTTGGGAAGAAGCCTCTGTGAATGGATAAGCTGGGAAAAGTCTGAATCGAGCGCCACCAGCTGAGTTCCAGGATAACCACAGCAAGTCAGCTCTTCCCCTGAGATATCCCGAGTGATGCTGCAGAGGGGAAGAGTCTAAACCTTACACCAGAGAGGCCCGCTCAGCACATTCGGAGGCTCATAAGCTGTTCAGCACAGAGGCCGATCGCCAGAAAAACTTTGCCAAGCACAGCAAATGCTGGGCAACTTCCACCAAGGCAACCACGGCAGCGAACAGACGTGGTTGCCCTGAGCAGAGAGAGCCAGAGGAGCGAGCAGGACTACGTGTAGGCACCAGTGTCCGTGGTTCGTTGTGCGGCCCGGCGCGGGGCCAGGAGGGGCCGAACGGGGCCGCCCCTCAGAGCCACCGGCCGCCATTAAACCAACACGGCACCGCCTCTCACTTCCGCCTCGCTTCCCTCTCACTTCCGCCTCGCGCGCGCCGCGGGGGGCCGGGCCAGCGGGAATGCGTCCCCGGGGCGGGGCTGCGCTGGATGTGACGTCACTGCCGTCACCGGGTCAGGGGCGGGGCCGGCGGGGCAAAGATGGCGCTGAACAGGAACCATTCGCAGCAGGGTGGTGTCGTCATCCCGAATGCCGAGAGGTACCGGAGGGTCGGGCGCGTCATCCTCGCCCCCTGTCCCCTCAGCAGGGCCGGGACGGTGGGGCCCGGTGGTGGGAGGTTCCCGCTGGGGCGACCCCCGTTCCCTGCTTGGCCGCGCAGGCCCGGCTCGGCCGGGGGTCTGCGTTACTGAAGGGCTCCCTGGCAGGGCGGGGGCGGGCAGTGTGGGGCAGGCTTGGCTGGAGTCCGTAGAGCTGCCCCGACTTCACCGCGGAAGCTCCGGCGTCCTTAAAGCCGCTCCGGCGGGCGTGCTGGGTGAAGACTGCGGCTACCATTGCTTGTACAAGTCAAGGAATTGGGGTTTTGTAAGGTCATGCACTTAGTGACGCCAGAGAGGCAGAGACTGTTTAAGGTAGGAGTCTTGGTCACTTGAATTCGTAAGTGAGGAACTTGAATTCAGAGTTCCTCTGCGGGAGAGGCGCCTCTCCGTGGAAGCCCAGCCTGCCTTGCCCCGAGCGGGGATTGACCGACCAGCTGAACAGACTGGGGCTTCAGTCCGGTCCTGCTGGGTGCTCCCAGCGTCCTGGCACGAGAAATCCTAGAAACCCGAGGCCCAGTAAAGGATCGAAGTAAAAGAAGCAAAGGAGTTGGTTTGGGTCTGGTGATCAATAGGAAAATTACACTTGAACAATATACTCCATCTTGAGTTTGGAGCTGACTCCTCATACTTCAGCCAGGAAGATTCTCTGACATGTTGAGCTCATGTTAAAGGAGATTTTTCTACCCTTTGAATCCTGGGGCTGCACCAAAAGCAGCGTGGGTAGAAGGTCAAGGGAGGTGGTTCTACCTCTGTATTCCACTCTGGTGTGACCTCACCTGCAGTGCTGCATCCAGCTCTGGGGTCCCCAGCATAAGAAGGATGTTAAACTGTTGGAGCAAGTCCAGAGAAGGCCGTGAAGTTGGTAAGAGGAATGAAGCACTTCCTCTATGAAGGCAAGCTGAGAACATTGGGGCTGTTTAGCCTGGAGAAGAGAAGGTTGTTGTGGAGACCTCACTGCAACCTTCCAGTATCTGAACAGGACCCACAGGGAAGGCACAGAGGGACTCTTCATCTGGAGCTGCAGTGCTAGGACAAGGAGTAATGGGTACAAGCTGAAAGAGGGGAAATTTAGGCTAAACTTCAGGAAGAAATTCTTCAGTCTGAGGGTGGTGGGGCACTGGAATGGGTTGCCCAGATGAGCTGTGGCCTTGGCAGTGTTCAAGGCTGGACTGGATAATGCCTTGAGCAAACTGATCTAGTGGAAGGTGGCCATGGCAGGGACGTTGGGACCAGGTAATGTTTAAGATCCCTTCCAAGCCTTCACATTGGCTTGAGATCATAAAACCATACATTCTTTGGGGTGCTGCTCAGTCACAAGTGAGGGCAGTGCGGCTCCACATGGTGCACAGTCTCTGTGACAGCCCTGGAAGGCATGCAGGTGCAGACTGGTTCAGCAGCCTCATTACTCTCTGTGGTGTGGCTGCATGTTATTTGCTTGTGTGAGTAGCTGCAAAGCAGTAAACATTACAGTGACTGCATCGAAATTCTTCCCAGTGAGGCAAAATTATGTGAAATGCTGCTACAAGACATGATTGAGGGAGTGTTCTGGTAAGATTAAAGCTGTCAAAAAGATGGTTGTATTTAGCTTAGAATATGTGTTTTCCCCTTGCATTTTGGAAATGGAAAGACCTCTGCTGTCTCATAAATCTGTCCCTTCCAGCCAGTCTGAGAATCTCCATCTAGCTCAGCTATGAAGTAGTGTTCCAGTAGAATTTTTTGGTCAGGTTGTTTTTTCTCATCAAAGCTGGACTTTTCAACATGTTTATTCTTGAGTAGCTGCATTTTTCATATACATCTACAGTGTTCTTCTCTTCCCTAAAAAGCAAACTACTTGAGACTATGGGGCTTTTGGTTGTTTTTCCATATGGTGGCCCTGAAGATTTCTCCCTTCCCCAAATAATTGCACAGTTTCCTGACTTTATTTGACTTCTACAGTATGCTGAGCAGAATTCATAAGGATTATTTTAGATCCAGCCCATTCAGGCTTGTGTTGGTTTAGGGTTTTGTCACTTGGTTTTTCATGCTCTTGAACCATAAAACACCTTGGAGTCTTCTGCCACTGTAACACGCTGAAGGTTTATCACCCTCAAGGTTCTTTTGTTTATTCTGCAGATTTTCTTACTATGTGGTATGTTTAGATCTGCACCATAGACTCAGTGACAGGCTTTCCCAAGATGCCTCATTTTTTATGAAAATATATTTACTTTTTCATGCAACTCTATATCCCTGACCCTGCAGCATTCACAATTCTCATTTGGGTTTGTGTCATTAGGAAACTCTGCTACTGTTCCCGTAGATTTCCAACAGTATTTATTGCTGACCCTGCTGACTCATTGCTTCATTCCTTAACGTGGTACTGTTTACTACAAAAGCTTGCTCAAGTCACGTGAGGCAGGGTCAGCACTGAGGCTTCCAGTGCAGCCACTTCCTCAGTTTGCACAGTGGGTGTGGTGTCACAGCAGTGCTGTTTCCCAGTGCAGTGGGCTTGACTTGAGCATGGGCTGGGGAGGGAGGAATGCGCTGAGATTGCACCTTGGCATCAAGGGGATGGTTTCTGACACCTCAGCCCTTTCTGTGCCCTGATCTTTGGGCTGAGGGTCTTCGTGTGTAGAGTGGAATTCCTCAGTCTGACACCTTCGGAGACAGAAACCCCCCTCTATATTAAAGGTGCCCTTGTGGAAGGAGGGGCAGGGCTTGTCTCAGATGAGAGGATGGATTCTTCCAGTCTGCATAAATCATCCCTCTCTGTTCAAAGTCAAAATGGCAGGGGCCACAGCAGGACTTCAGGATACCACTCAGATTCTGTTGTGCTGTTCCCTGCCCTGTGTGATGAGGGTATGTGTCAGAGCTGTCACCAAGTTTGTCTCTCCAATCTGTCTGATTTCTTCCTGCAGTGTCCTCAAACAGTGCAAAGATGTGGAGCTCTCCTTCAGTGACGTGACAGGCAAACCTGAAATCTTCAAAGGCACCAAAAAAGGAATGCTGTATCTCACCCCCTACAGGGTAAGCCTGATGCCAGTGGGGTTGCTTCTTTCTCAAGGGATTATGTAAACTTTAAACCAGAAACCTAGTTGATGACAGAAGAAGGGATTTTTATTGTGGAAGGGACCACTGACAGCACTAGGTAGGAGAAGGAAAGGTGGAAATGGGATAGTCCATACCTATGCCACAATCCCAATCACCTACAAAGGCACATGCAGTCCTGGAAATCACTGTCTAGAGAATATATTTCATATAATGTGTCAGTCAATGATACTTCCTTTGCAGACTCTCATAGGTTATCCTTAAAAAGCAAAGCAGTAAAACTCAGTAAATGTCCAGGTGTGTTTTAAGTGGTTTATTATTTTGGATTGTACATGCCTCAGGTCAGTGAGCCATGTGCCATCAAATCTGTTGGGGATCCCCAGTGTTAAAGCTGTGAAATAATTCAATGCGTACTCATACTAGAGGTGAAGTCACTCTCTTTTTGGATGCTGATACAGTGAGAGCTCCATCATCACTCTCTCTATGGAACTCAAGTAATTCAGAAGCATTCCCCACTCTCTTGCAGATGATCTTTGTGACCAAGGGCAAGGATCCTATGCTGTCCTTCATGATGCCGTTCTATTTGGTGAAAGGATGCTCCATCGAGCAGCCCGTTTTCTCTGCCAATTACATCAAGGGGCAGATCCAGGCCGAGGCCGGAGGTACGTGCAGTGCTGTGCAGATTGAGCTCTTCCCAAGCATCACAGGCCATTTTTGCTGAGCACCAGACCAGCTTATGAGCACAGGAATGGAGAGTGGCCGTGGTGGTATAGCTGGTGTGTCCACACTGGGCTAACTCCCCTCTCCTGCACTTCTGGGCACTGCTGCCATGTTACTTCCTGCCCTCAGGCCAGGGACTGACTTGCCCAGGATGAGTTCTGTGTGATTCTTTAACTCCTGTCTAGCTTTGTGTATCGTGTTTACTCACTTTCACGATGTGCTTGTTTTTCGTTGACCTGAAAGCATGGACTGGTGCCTTGGTCATTTACCCACCCTATTGATACACAGAATTAGAATTAGCATCCACTTTTGGTTTTTTGGAAGTCAGGAGCCCTTTGGGTGTGGTTTGCATGGATCTGGGAGTCTGCTGTCCATCATTGATTTAGCTTTGATCCCAATTTGATCATGAAGGCACAGTAACACTTAACAGAGGTCATTTATGACCACATGGGGAATTGCAAAAGATAAACAGGGATTGGAAACATGGCTTTTGGTTCAAATTTCTTCCCTTTTCAGCCCTTTCATGTGCATTTTCATGGCATATGAAGTGTTTATTCTTTTTGCTTTCTGTTTGTAACAATGTTTTAAAGTGGATTGTGGATCAGCCCACTTTCTTGGGCTGAAGTCATACTAAGACAGTGATTTTATAGAGGTGAATCTCCAAAGGAATGACTTTATCCATGATGGACTCTTTTGTTATATTTCTATACTTTATTTCTACTTTGTCCCCAAGAGACTATCTCTCATGATACTACTTTAATTGTTAGACAAGGAAGATAAATCTTATATTGAAATGACACCTATTTTTTGTTAAAAACACCAAAATTCAAAGCACCCTCCACCAAAAAAATCCACCAAATCCCAAAAAGTCCTAGGAAAACAAAGCACTCTTACTTGCCTTGCAAGACATTGCCTACTTGATTTTTTTTCCCTGAGAAATTGCTTTTATACCTCAGCATTTAACAATCTGTCAGAGTTTCTATGTGTCAGTGAGATTATGTTGCATTTGATTTAAATCCTGGCTTGAGTTGCAGATCCTGATCTGTAGTTCACTGAGGATATCAATAAAACTTCATCTGAGGGCTTTCAGTTAATATCCTCAGTGAAATAAATGTTCCATCTTTACACTGTTCTTTATTAGGTTCTGTTAAAACTTTCAGGAAAGAACAAAACAGCCTTGTATCTAGAGTAGGCTGCTTCTACATGACTGTACCTTTCAAAGGGTAGAACAATAAATTCATGATCCTCTTGAGATATTATTTTGGGGGACATCTGATAGCAGTGCCATGACTCCTTCTTGTAATAGGATGCAAAATAGTTTTGAAATAAAGAAGAAAATAATAATTGAAGTATATACAGAATAATAATTGAAGCATAAAATAATAATTGAAGTATAAAATTTTGCTGGCTTGGATTCAATTCTAATTCTCTCTCCTAGGTGGCTGGGAAGGGCAGGGGACATTTAAACTGACTTTCAACAGCGGAGGAGCCGTTGAGTTTGGACAGCTGATGATGAAAGCTGCTTCTAGTGGTAAGGGATTTTCAGATCCTGTGGTTCCCCCATGGTTGGCTGAGCTAGTAAGCAAATTGTGCTTGTTCTGAACTTCATGGGAAGAGGGGTACCCTAGGCCCTCTTCCACAGCAAAGTATTTTTTTCTCTTTCCAGGGGAGCTTTTGGTTTCCCTTTCAATCCTTTTTCTTTATTTCTTCTTAGTGCTTTGTGCAGTCAGAATGTTCTGGGGTTTGGGCTCCTGAGGTAGACCAAATTTTTCTACAGAGCCTTACTTCTACTGGAAAAAAGTTGAAATATGTGATGGTGAAAAATTGCTTCACTTAGCTGCTGTCAGCTCAGTTCTAAACTAGTGCAGTAAGATGGGGAAAACTAACGTGCACATTTGGAGAGGGGAAATATAAGTTTTAAAAAACAATTTCTTTTTCAAATTTTCAAATGGAGGAACAAGAACTCTTTTCCTGATGAAGTTTTCTTTTTTAAAAAATGTGTGTTTTAAAATATACTTGTTTTCAGAACGAAAGTATATTAAAAAAAAGGAAAACATGCTGTACTGCTACTTGTTTTAGAGTGGTGTTTCCTTCAACCAGTGTTAGCTCTGTGGTGGGACTGGGACCTGTGAGGTTGTATTTTTGCAGCTGGTTTCCTTCAGCACTCTGTGACTAATGCTTTTCAGGCGCAGTACTATGCTGGGACTATATAGTGAATCTACATAAGGGGAAACAGGAAAATAACAGGGAAAAAAATAACAGAAAATAACAGGACTATTTTAATTTTATTCTCTACATTTAGTCTTAAGAAAAGATGTCTGGCTTACTAAATGTGTGTTCCTTAGCTTCCAGTGGGGTTCCTCTGCAGAGCCCTGGCTATGGATACACCCCTGTTCCCGGAGGATACGCCCCTGTGCCCGGGGGCTACGCGGCGCCTCCGCCCCCGAACGGAGCCTACCCCTATGCACCGCCTCCAGGGAGCGCCTACGGACCGGCTCCACAGCCCATGGGCTACCCCTACGCCCAGACCCCAGGTTTGCAAGCTGTGTATGGTGACTGGCTCTGATGTTAGCTGTGAAGAAGCGACAGTGGTACAGTGAGGGTTGCTGTAGTTTTTTCTCCATCGAGGACCCTTGTCCCTGCCGAAATCTGTCACGTGCTGTTGATCACACCCATGTGTCGCTATAGTTCTAGCTACATGAAAATGTGGTTTGCAAATTGTGCTGCTGCTTGGTAGGGAATGATTGCCTGCTGACATGACAGGCATTAGCAAATTATCAAATCTGTCTGCATCCCTGCCAAGCCTGGAGAGCTTCCCTTACCACTGCTCTTGTCCCAGCTAATGTGCTGTCTGGCCTGTGAGCTCTCTGTCCCGTGGTCTGTGGTCCAAAGTATCAGCCTGGTGTTGTCTTTTTCAGGTATTTACCCACCACTTCCAAACATGAACCCCATGTACATGCCACCTCCACCACCCTACTCTGGGGCACCTCCTGCAGAATCCTCAGCCCCCTCAGCTCCCCCAGCCTGGGTGAGCCCAGGAATGCCAGGTAAATGGGGTTGGGCGGTTGCCAGGGTCTGGGTGCAAATGGTGTCTGGGGGTTTGGGCACAGCATGGGGTGGAGAAGCTGTTGTTGCAGTAGCTCCAAGTCGTCTGTAGGGAGCTGCTCTGCCTTGCACTGTACAGCTTGTGGTCAGGCCTAGCCAGCTTTCCTGAGCTGCTCTGAGTTCTAACCCAGCTTGCTGCAGTTCCTCTTGGCTCCTTGGGCCTTTGTTGGGTCCTTGGGCCTTTGTTGCCTGTGAAGCTGGAGAGAAGGCTCTGGGGCTAGGGCCATTGCCTCAGATATTTAAGGTAGCTTCTTTTCCTTCCTTTCCAGGAGGCAGTAAGGCCATGGAAGCAGCTTCCAGTGCATATTACAACCCTGCCAACCCACACAACGTGTACATGCCCATGGTGAGTGCCATGCCTGGTCTTCATGTGCCTACTCCCTCCTCTGGAACTCGCAGAGATGGTGCTTTGCTTTCTTACTAAGTCTAGCGTACCTTCATGTTGAACATGCACAGGAGGTGTGCATTTTTATGGGAGGGAGGCTCCCGTGAGGAAGACTGGTGAATTTTTCAGTTAGGAAAGGAGGAAGGCCTTAAGATTGATCCATTAACAGCCATTTACTTCCTGTCTTACTCCTAAAGGCATAATATACTTGCATGGGCAAAGAGGAAACACAGAGCTCTCTGCATCCATTGGGCCTGAAAATGAGCAGAGTTAAAGAAGGATAGGTCACTTAAGGATGATGGCATGTGGGTTTCTGTTTTGGTTTCTTTCTGGGCCGCACAGGGACAGGGAGGTCTCTTAGTGTTCAGTCAGTGGCAGCCAGTAGGTTGTCTGTAGCCTCCATCTGGTACATGGCAGTCTGGCTCTGCCCCTCACTGCCTTCCTTGGCTCTGGCAGGCTGGAGACTGATGGAGCAGCAAAGCTGGCCCTCAGCCCAGGGTTTGTTGTCTGCTGGGTCAGAGCTATGAGCTTCAACAGGGACCAAAGCCCTGGAAAGGACGGGAGAATGGCATTTAAAACAGATTAAATGGTCCATTTGCAGTAGACCATTTGTTACCTGGTTTTGAGGGGACTTTTCTTAGAAATATTATGGAGACAGCATGTGTCATGGAACACAGCTGATACTAGAGAGGAATGGTGTGATGAAATGACAGCTTAAAGCATAGAACTTCATTCTGTCTGTAGCTCACTGCAGGGCACTCGTTGCTGGTGAGCCAAGCCTGGGAATGCCTGGAAAGAGCTGGTAATAAAACAAGCATGCTTGTTGACTCTACTGTGTCTCTTTCCAGGATCAGCCACCTCCTTATGCACCTCCTGAGGATAAGAAGAACAACTAGCAGAAGGAAATTGCAGCCAGCCTCCCACATTCTCTCTCCCTGAAGACAACTTGGCTGTTAATACCCCTCAAGTTAGCGTATCTCTAGATCTCTGTTTCTCTGCAATAGATATAGTGCTGGGCAGCTGAGCACCTGCCCTCATTAAACATTGAGTCAGTGGCAACACAAGGCAGGACAACAGCACTTTTCTACTTACTTGCTTTATCTCATGGGGTCAGAGGACTAATCTTTTGCCCTGCCATTGGCTTGAGGAGAGAGATGGACTTATCAAACTGTATCACATGACTAATCTAGGACTAAAATGTGAAGGCTCTGGGATCTTGTTGGAGTGAAACAACTTGGAATGCCAAACTTTTGACTTCTGAAGCACCATCCAGGAGGAAATGTGTAGAGAGCTATGAGATTCCCTGCACAGATCCTCTGGTGCCCTAGAAAGGTGTTAAATGTCCTTAAATTCTAGGGCAGTTCAGTGTGAGATGGGACTTTGGACATGCTGTATTGTGTTGGAAGTGTGTGGCATTCTGGACTAACAGTTGAGGGGTCATGACCTTGGGAAGTGCATTCGAAGAGATGCTGAAGCATTTGGCTATGAAAGAGGGAAGGGGATGGGTCCCAAACAACCTGTCTTTGTAGCCATTGAATAGAGGAGCAAACAAAGGTGTGCCTCAGGGCAGTGAGCTCACAGACTGGCAGGCCTGAGGATCAGTCTGTCTTTTCCCCATCCAAGCAGATCCCATATCTGTGCAAGGATCCTGTGTCAAGCAGCCTAATGGAGTCAAGTGCTGCACAGGAGGCTGCCTGCCTTGGAGCAAAATATGTTACATATAGGCAGATGACCTGGCAGTAGCCTTGTCAGGAGACAAGTCCTGCAGCCCTTTCTCCCTCTGCTGAGCAAACTTGTGCTGAGTGCTACCTCCACAGGGGAAAACTGGCCTTCATCTTTTCCTTCAGCTGCTGGAGCCAGCTGTGTGTGCCCACACCTGAGCAGCGTGGGCAGGTGGGCACTGTAATGCCACAGCTGGTTGCTCACAGGTGCAGTGCTGGGAGCTGCTGTCTGGGTGGGAGTTTCCAATGCTTGGCTCTCTTGCAGAGACTGGCTGCTCAGCCACAACCTCTCCTTTTTCCTTAGGACATAGTGAAGTTAAACCTGCTCTGAAGAGAGTCTCTAGTCTGGTGGAGACCCTTATGATCCTTTACCTTTATCCTAATAGGGTGACTGTACTTCTTCCTACAGCCTCCCTACCTTCACAAGGAGGGGAAAGGAGTATTTCCCCTCTTACTTCCCTGTATAGCAGGGCTCACCTGCAAGTCAGGTTTGCACAACTTAAAAGAATGAATTCTTAAAGCAGTTCCACGTGGGGGGGGAAGTAAGTTTCCTCATCTATAAACACTTTTTCTGACTTAGAGATATTCTAACAACTCTGTATTTAAAAAAAAATCAACCATGAATGTTTGTAACTTTTTGAATTGCACTTTAATACAGGAGTGTTGATACCTTTATCTGCCAGTTCAGTGGTGTGTGTGTGTGTGTGTTGTGTTGACCTTAATTCTTGCATACTCCACAGAAGGCTAGAATGAACTACAGCCACTGCTGCTGTTCCCTTGGGTCACCTGTGGGTCAGTACATCTCTCTCCCTGGTATGTGGCTAAGCTGGACCTGGAATCAAGTAACTGGGGGGAGTGAAGAAAGCAGGACTTATCCCCTTTCTGCCTGGGAAGGGTGGAAGGCTGGCTGGGGCCTGTGGTTATGCCCAGGTATCCAGAAGTGGCACATGTTCCTGTCCCATCACTGCTTGTAGCAGGGGCCGTGTCACCACGCTGCTGCTCATTACAGCTGCAGACACAGCACCTCTTCTATGTACATTACACCAGAAGGGACGCCTTTAAAGTCTTTAAAAGAAACTCCTCAGCAGCAATTTTTTTTCCAGCAATGGAAAAATAAATATATAATAAAGAAAATGGCACTTGGCTATAGACTGTTGTGCCAAGGAATGCTGCTACCCTGCTGAACATGATGTAATGACCGGAAAGCCACTTCCTACTCTGCATCACTGCAGTTTCTGACAGGAAACCTGTGGTGGTGTTCTCAAGGGTCCCAGGACGAGGGAAGAGATGAGAATCTTGACTCCATGTTTCAGAAGGCTGATTTATTATTTTATTATATATATAATATATATATATAATATATATTATTATATATAGCATTAAAAGAAAATGATATATTAAAACTATACTAAAAGAATAGAAAGAAGGATTTCATCAGAGGGCTAGAAAAGAAATGAAGGAATGATAGTAAAACCTTGTGACTGACCAGAGTCCAAGACAGCTGGACTGTGATTGGCCATTAATTAAAAACAACCACATGAGACCAATCAAAGATGCACCTGTTGCATTCCACAGCAGCAGATAGTTATTGTTTACATTTTGTTTCTGAGGCCTCTCAGCTTCTCAGGAGAAAAGATCCTAACGAAAGGATTTTTCATAAAATATGTCTCTGACAGAAACCAGTTCTATTTCCTAGCACAGTTGTTCCTGTTTTGAGGTAATGACCCTGTAATCCTACATTAACCAAGCAGGTATAGCTAGCAACACGAAGCAGAGTCTATGATCTACTTCACTTTATTTCAATCAGTTTGCCTCAATCACTCCCCAAGAATAAAGCCAGCTCCTTGTTTTGTTGGCAAGTCCTCCCTTATTAGAACTGGAAGGGTTCAGTATCTTGACCCTGCACATCAAAGTTTCTGGAAGGATTCAGAATCAACCGTTTGGTCCTTCAGGAACCAGAGTGGACAGATGACCAGGAACCATCCCACAGCTGAATAGAAATAGAGAAATTTTTTTCCTAATCTAAAATGTGGTATTTCCCCAGTCTGAGGCTTAATCTTGTGTCACCTAGAAATCTTCCACGGGTAGTCTGCTGTATGAAGGTGACGCAGTTAAGGGCTTTAGAGTGTCCTGACACTCACTTCCAGTTTATTAGTGCAGGTTCCTCCTCAGGATAGAGCTGTGCATACAAGGGCCCTTGGGAGAAGAAGCCTTTCCCTGAGATACCCTGAGTTTTCAGCCTGCTGAAGTTGGATCTGATCTTCCTTTTAGCAGAAATTTCCTTCTAGAGAAAGAAGGATGCAGCTTTCAGCTTGGAGGCATCTGTGACCAACTCCCAACCCAAAAGACGACCTCAGCTGAGTATCAGCATCTTCCTGACAGCACTCCTACACAAAGTGCTATGGCTCTGCAGTTTTTGGTGTGCACGGCTCCTGGGGTTGTGCATGGCTCATGGAGATTTTTGCTCTGCTGTAAACTTCAACCAAAGGCCTTTAATACAATGCTAGCACTAGGGTGCAGTAGTGCTGGCCTCTAGGATCCTGGCAGCAGGATTCTAGAGGCCAAAGCCTCACTGCACAGGGCCATTATGCCTCCAAGAGCTCTTGGTCCTGGTGGGGATACATGGGAGGGATGCAGCCCAGCTGGCAGCTCCTTATTCTAAACCAAGCTGATTATAGCAAAAGAAAGAAGGTGATCAAGTCTGATCCTTGAAGTTAATGCCATTACACACCTGGGGGAAAAGGGGATGTCTCAACCCTAGGAAATACTAAAGCACCCAAAGCCTTTCTACAAGTGTAGTTCAAACAACGCCTGCAGCATCCAGTAATACCCAGCTCAAAGCAATGAAGTTCTCAGGTGTCAGAGCTGACAAACTTCAGTAGTGGTGGACTCTACCTGTATGGCATCTTCCACAGGAGCATCTGAAAAGGCTTTGCAATCACCAAGGCACTATGCTCTGCACACCCTTAGGCAGCGGGTAACAACAATTCCTGGTTTATGCAGACGGAGCAGACATCATCAAGCTGGTACCAGGGGATGGTCACTGCCCAGCACTGCTGGGCTCACCAGCAAAAGGCACTTGTGTAGTGAAGAGCCACATGCCTTGGGGTCTCACAGTTCACCCTGGCACTGGTCCACATCCACTGGGCCCTGTCACAGAAGGGCTGGGTGGAAACCCTCACCGGGGACTTGCTGTCTGGCAACATGCCAAGGCTGTACTGGGAGTGCCATGGGACGGAGATACCACATCACCACCCCCGAGGGGTTAATAACGACTGAGAAGTTGTCTGCTGTTCTTAAGGCCCCAACGATCTTCCCAACATACACGTCTTGTACCTGAAAGAGAGATGGAGCTACCAGCAATTCCAGACTTTTCATCTTGGGGTCCAGCTGTGGTCACGGACATGGAATAGTGGGAAAGGGCACAGCAGTGGGCAACAGAAGAGTGACCCAGTGGGCAGCTGCCCCTTCATCCCAGAGGCATGGAGTGAGAGTACTCCCTCTCACCCTCCCAGATCGCATAGGGATCTGGGAAGAGGGGGATCCATGTGCCATGGGACTGCCCTGCTATGCAGCCTGTTAGTGGGGCTCACCTCATACACAGCATCCTCAGGGAAGTGGAGCTTGGCCAGGCTGGTGGTGTAGCGGAAGGGCATGTCTGTCCTCCGGCTGAAGAACACAAGGGCGCTGGCAGCCCGCGACAGTGGGCGCAGAAACACCTCAATCTGGGATTTCTCCTAGGGGTGGGGATAGGTGGGTTGCCAGGAACAGCGTAACAGAATTCTGACTTTGCCCTGTGGGGCTGCTACACCAGCAGGCCCACAACTCCCACAGCTCTCTTGCTCCTGTTTCTCTGCATCGCTTCCCCCTCCCTCCTGATTCTGATGCTCTGTGCTACTCCTGTCTGCCCTCCCAAATGCATCTGCTTTCCCCCTAACCTTGACAATCCTGCGCCCCTGGATTCCCAGGGGGTCCTGGTTGATCTGGATCATCAGGCGGTTCTGCAGGATCTCCTTGGCACTGGGGGAGATGGTGCGGAGATCCGTGGACATGAGGAGCGGAGCTGCCATCACTGTCCACAAAGCCATTTGGGAGCGTGACTGCTCGAAGCTAAGGCCAAAGTTTCCAATGATGAGCTGGAGAGGAGACAACGAAAAGATGGAAGTAGCAGAAAAAGGTTAGAAACTTGTCTGTTTGTCACCTGTGGTGATGCTGCTTCCTGCTGGGAGGGAATGCACAAGGGAAACCTCACACACACTTTTGCTTCCTCTTAAGTAGTCCACCACTGCCATAGGAGATCTCATCCCTGCTAGCAGCATACACTCATTAATACCCTTTGCTTCGGCACTATTTGCCCTAAGTCTGTGCAGGGAAGGACAAGAACACCTGAAGAACTTGAGAGGTAAATTCAAGTGGTGAAGGGTTCATTGCAACCACAGTGGTTTTTCCCACATCTTAGCCAAGGGCAACGCCAGCTTTGCCTCTGCAGCAACAGGGCTCCTGCTCCTGGAGCTCTTCCTTTGCCCTGCCCCTAGAAGGGGACCCCTGGAGATGCTCATTCCCAGACAGGGTCCAAGCACCCATCACCCAGCCACACCATGTCCGGGTCGTTCCAGTGGCCGGGGCCAGCTGCCGGCTGCAGCACGTCCTGGTTTGTGAAGAACCAGTCCACGATGGAAAGGACACTCTCCCAGGAGTCCTGGATGTCGTCATAGTTACGCCACAGGTTGCAGATCTCTGCCAGGAGGGTGTAGTTCACCTGACAAGGAGAACGGTGTCAGGCAGGAGACAAAAAAGAGCTGCTCTGCAAGGTGGGGGAGGCAGGGGCAGCACTGTTGAACTGTTGAGAGCTGCACTGTCCAGCAAGTGTGTGAAAGACAGAGGAATCTGGAGAAGGGCAAGGAGGGAAGGGTAAGGAGGCAAGACAGAGTCATATCCCACTATGTCTGGGCACACCCCAGTGCTACAGGATGTCTGGCAAAACAACCACAGAGGCCAGTGGGGAAATCTGGTAACTTATCAGCTACAAGAATGAGAGCAGCTCAGGACTGACTCAATAAGTGAAAGAGGAAATATGTGAGAGCAACCAATTCTCGAGAAACATATACTAGGAAGATTATCCTATTTCAAGCACTGAAACCAGACAAGATTGTTTCACAAGAAGACTGTCAGGACCAACCCCACACCATCTGATTAGAGTGGGGAGGATACACTCCAGAGCCTTCTTCCCACAAACTCCCATCACCTAGCCGTATTGGGACCCCCAAGTGTCCCCAGGTGCCTGGCAGGAAGGCCACATTCCCTCTGGGACCTGCAGCACCATCCAAGGGTGGAAAATTAAGTGGGGTGTAACACCCTGCTCCTGGTGCTCCAGCAAGAGCTCCTTCAGGGCACAGGGGACATGGGAACTTGCCAACAGATGGAAAAACCCCTACCTTGGGGGGAAGACCCCCCTGATATGCTGGCCAGCTGCAGGAGTAGACAATGGGGCGGCCTGTGGCGTTCAAAGCCTTTGCCATTTCTGGGTATCCTTCGGGAGAGAAGATGACAGCCAGTGAAGGGGTTGGCAGCAGCCCATGTCCCAGTAGCCTTTGTCCCAGCCCACCCAGCACAGGGAATACCAGGCTAGCCTGGCTTACTTCCTTATACCAGCTCCAGGGCACACAAACTCCCGCCTCTTTTCCCAACAGTTGCAATAGGAGGCACAAGGGAAGAGCTGGCTGGCCCGGTGTTGCTGCAGAGGGCCAGCTGCCCCACCCCAAGCAGCAGGGAAAGGAATGCCAGAGGCTGGTGAACGTTTACCCTTTGCCTGCTCCTCTGTGGACGAGTAGCACCCATCCAGCTTCAGCATGTCTACACCCCACGCTGCAAAGGTCTGGGCATCCTGCTTCACATTTTCCAACATGGTGCCTGGGTAGCCCCCACAGGTGAAGATGCCCAGGTCACCATAAATGCCCAACTTCAGGCCCCTGGCATGGACCTGTGAGGAAAACAGAGCTGCAAGGAGCAAATGAAGGGATCCAAGGTGTCTCCCAGGTACCAGAGTCCTCTTTTCCTTCCCAGCTCTCCCACCATACTGGCATGGGGACAGAGATCCGCAGTGGCCCCAGCAGGCACTCACATAGTCAGCCAGAGCCTTAATTCCGCTGGGAAATCTCTTGGGGTCGGGAACCAGCTGTCCGGCTGCATTCCGCTGCTTGGCAGACCAGCAGTCATCAATGTTGATGTACTCGTAGCCCAGCTCCCTCCAGCCATCCTCTGCCAGCTGGTCTGCCATCTCGAAGAAGAGCTGCTCGCTGTGGATTGACGAGGCATGGCAGGCTGAGACCCTGCGACCCTCGTGCCTCAGCAGGTGAGGCAGGCAGAGGGATTTGGGGTTAACTGGGGGCTCTGGAGGGCTGATCCGGGCCATAGGAGGATCTCCAGCACTCCTATTTAAACCCTATCCGTGTTTATTGACCTCACCGAGGGGGAAGCGTTTCCCCTGAAAAGCCTGGCCACATCCTTCAACTCTGGGGGCTCTCCGGCCCAGCACCGGGGCGTCTGAGCCTCCCGCCTCCCATGCACCATCCACCGCGGGGTCCCAGAGACCCAGACGGTGCCAGAGCCATCCCGGGCCTGAAGTTCGACCTGACCGAGCCCCATCCACTGACCTGATGCAGTTGTGGGGATCCGCCTGGCAGTCCACGTTGCAGCGGAACCTCTCCCAGGACATCCAGCCCATGGGGGGAGTGCGCGCCAGCCCGTTCTCCAGGGCCACGGAGGGCAGCGCCAGCGCCAGGGCCAGGGCCAGCCCGCTCAGTACCACCGCCTCCATCGCTGCTGCTGCTGCTGCCGCCGCGGCACGGAGCATGGAGCGGCTCTCCCGGCCCGGCCCCGCTCACATGATGCCGTCCGCATCAGCTGACGGACCGCCCACGCCTCCTTCCTTCCTTCCCTCCCGCCCGCCCGCCCGCAGCTACCGCGCCCCGCCGGTACTGCAGCCCACAGCCGTGCCGCCCCATTAATATCGCTCCCCCACCTGCACCCTGTCCGTGCTGCACCCCACTGTGGCTGCACCCCGTAGCCGGTGCCCATCAGCACTGCGCCCAGCCCCTACTGCACCCCACTGCAGCTGCACCGCGTTGCTGGCACCCTGTCACCGCCGCCCCCGTGCCTGCTGCACCCCATAGTGACTCGGAGCGGGGGTTTAGGTCCCCCCCAGGTTGCGACCCCGCAGAGGTGTCGGGCTGAGCGAAGGGGTGCGGGAGGACTCGGCTCCGGTCTGGCTGCGGTGTCCCCGGCCCCCCCGCTGCCCCCTGGCCGCTGGCGGGGCGGTGCTGCCGGCGCGACGGGACGGCCCCGGCAGCCGCAGGAGCCTTCCCCGCTCGGCTGCGGCAGGGCCGGGGCCCCGCACCGCCGAGCAGCAGCGGCCGGAGGTGAGCCGGGCCGGGCAGGGGCCGGGGTCCCGCCGACGCACGGGAGGCGCTGGGGAAGGGCCAGGTGGCGCCGGGGCCGGGCCGGGGCAGGGCGGCGGCGGGGCGGGAGCGGCGGTGGGGCCGCGGGGGTCGCAGCCACACGGCGAACTCACCCATGGAGGGGCACAAACACTCACAAAGACACGCAGCCCCTTCGCACGGGCGTGCGCCCGCACACAAAGACAGAGCCCAGCACGGCACACGTGGGACCCCCGCAGCCCCCCCGCGTCAGGGCCGGCCTGCGCCGCCCCGGCTGTCCGCAGCCACAGTGTGCCAGGCTGGAAGCTCCCCAGGGCAGAGCACCTCCAGGGAACAGCCTTTCCTTGTGTCTGATCGGGGTCTTGGGCATTTTTCAGCGGGGGTCCGTGCCCCCATGTCCTCAGCCGTGCCCCACAAGCCCTGATGGGAGAGAGGGGCTCCAGGAGGGATTCTGGATGTTGCTCAGCAGTGAGGAGCTCCTAGCGCCCAGATCTGTCCTGGGAGTGGTGGCTGTGGTTTGTTTTCTGCATATTTCTATGTGTGGAGTTTTAGCGGTTGGAAATCCTTTTGCAATTGAACAATGCACAAAGGTTTGTGCTGGCTCTGCCCCTCAAGGCTCTATCCTCCTTGACTTGCTGAGTCGCCTACCAAAGGGCCTCCACAAATGGGGCAGTGACAGCTTCTGCAAAACATTTATTTTTTTCTTTTAATAAACCCAAAACAAACCCAGGAGTCAGAAAACAAACCCACAGGAGCACTGGCCTGAGCTGGGATAGGGCTCAGGCTTTGAAGCAAGTGCATGTTCCCCCAGTTTTGCTATCCCAGTTTCCAGTGCAGCTTGCCTGCGCTGAGGACCCTGGATTCTGAGGTGGGAGTGACACAGCTCTTAGCTCTGTCAGTCCCAAACTGTTCTGGTTCATAACTCCTTCTTCTTCATCCTTTTCCTCCACCAAAGATGGTACTCATCACGCCAAAGCCTCAGACACCCTCGGCTAGGGAGCAGCCTGGCCAAGGAAGACAGCGAGGGTTTGCAGTCTGACCTGCACAGCTGGTACGGCACCTTGCATCCCACTGCTGGTGAACCTGCTGAAGGTGGCAGTTCTTCCAGGAAGGCCGGTGGGGGTGGGTGGTCCTGCATGGAGACAGGGAGTAGGGAAAGGGGACAGAAGTGTAAGTTCCAGAGCCTTTGGGTCTGAAACACCCTCCTTATCCTGCCTTCTAATAGAGAGCAAAATGAGTGCCTCGCAGGCAGAGAGGCAAATTTCTTTGATGTGCCCCATTAAAACCAGCAAAGTAGGTCACCTGTGGAATAAGAAATTAAACAGCAGTGTTGGCGTTCACAGGGAAGGCAGGTGTCTGGGTGGTGAGGCTCTGGTAGTGACCTCCTCTTTGCAGCAGCGAGGAGCCAGCCTGCCCTTTGTAGGGTACCTGCTGGGTTAGACGCTGTCCTGTGTCAGTGGCTGCTGGAATGGGGGCTGCTTTTCCCTGGGAGCAGGATCAGGCCTCTTCTGGTGGGGCCAGTGACATGCTCCTCACACCAAGACAACCTCTTCCCCCTCTCTCCTCTCCTCCTAGGTGGGGCGATGAAGCTGAATGAGCGGAGCGTGGCCCACTACGCCACCTGCGACTCGCCAGCCGACCACACCGGCTTTCTGCGCAAGCGGGTGGAGCGGCACCACCACCATGGCACCTCCTACCAGCGCCGCTGGTTCGTCCTCAAGGGCAACCTCCTCTTCTACTTTGAGGAGCGGGAGAGCCGGGAGCCCATGGGGCTGGTGGTCCTGGAGGGCTGCACCGTGGAGCTGTGCGAGGCCGCTGAGGAGTTTGCCTTTGCCATCCGCTTTGATGACGCTGGTGCCAGGGCCTATGTGCTGGTGGCTGACGGGCAGGCTGCCATGGAGGCCTGGGTGAAGGCACTCTCACGGGCCAGCTTCGACTACATGCGGCTGGTGGTGAGGGAGCTGGAGAAGCAGCTGGAGGAGGCCTGCAAGAGCTTGGCTGCTTGCCGTAAGTCTCCAAGGAGGTCCTCTTCCTCTGGCAGGAAGAGGCATCTCTCCAACCCTGCCTTGCAGCCTCTCCAGGAGAAGCCCACCACCCTGGAGAATGGCTACTCCACATGGAGTAGTGGTGGTTGTGTCGCTGGTGGAGCCACCTGCCCTGACCACGATGGGGGGCAAACGAAGCCCCCGCCCCTGCCTCCACGCCGGCGCTCGGCCGCCAGCAGTGCCACAGGATTCCCGGCACCTGGCCTCTCACCAGCCATGCTGGAGAGCCCAGTGCCACCAGAAACCATCTGCTTCTCCAAGCTGCACAACTGGTACGGGCAGGAGATCGCAGTGCTGAGACGGGAGTGGCAGGAGAGGCAGAAGAGGGGACACCCATGACTGGGGGCACAGGACACAAGTCACTGGCCAGCTGATGCCTGGCAGCCTGTCCTGCATGCAGGAAGAGTAAAGTGAGGGACACTGCTTGCCCCCTGCCCTCCTGAATGGCTGAGTGTGATGTGTGTGTGCTTCACTTGGGAGGGACTTAAATCTCTAAACCTCACATTTAATTTCCACAAGGCTTTATACAGCCAGAGAGTGTGTAACACCAGGGGAGCCACCTTTACTTAAACTCTCTCTGCTGGAAATAGGAGCTGCCCAAATCAGCAATGAACCTCAGCCAACAGGCTTGGCCACTTGCTGTCCTGACACGGTGGATGCTCTGGGTGTTTCACCCCTACCTCTCCTTCACCACTTTTTTTTGTTGTTGTTGTTTTGTTTCTCAGTGTGGAAGTTTGCTTTTGGTCAGTACTTATTACTGTCTGTAGTCTTGTGCCAAAGTCCTTCTGCCTTTGTTCTTTTGCTACAGATAAGGCTGGGCTCTTGTGAAGTGCCTCTGACAGGCCACTGGCCCCGGCGCGTGCCTCCAGCCTTGTGCCTCTCTCACTCCAGGACGTGTGAGCCTCTGCAGCTGTTGCTGGCACAGCAGCTGGGGCTTTTGCATAGTTTTTTTGCTTTCATCTGCACTAACCCTTATTTCAGCTAAATCCTTCAGGATGTGGATATCATGGTCTTGCAACAGTTCTCTTTATGTGCTCATACTCAGCAGCAAACCTGAAATGGAGACACAGAGCTTGGCCTGAAGCCTCAGAAGGAACACCAGGATCACCCCCGGGCTGATCTGGACTCTGTCAAGCGGTAACCAAGCCTGCTAATATCTCTGGCTCAAGGTTTCCCTGTTCCTATACAGGGATGCTAAAGCCTCTTTGCCTGGGCAGGAGTAAATTTCTCAGCATTTGTTTAGACCACAGCCCCTGCAAAGTGCCATAGAGGGCTCAGTCAGCTCATGGGGCTGCTTGCCCAAGAGTGTCCAGAGCCGCACTCCTGCAGGGCCTCTCTCAGTGCTGTGGCTCTGCCCAGCTCCTGGCAGTGCTGCACAGTTGGAGGAGAGTCTTTGAAGGGTGGGGAGGGAGAGAGGCCTGGTCTCAGGAGGAGAAGTGAAGGTGTGGGAGTGTCCAGGCTTGCCTCTCCAGTGTCAGAGCCATGTTGTTGCCTTCTACCAAGCCTGCACCCGGCCTGCCGGCGCTTCCCTCTGATTTCATGTCAGCATTGCTTGGCTGATCTCTGCAGCACATCCTGTCCTCCCAGCGGGCTGGGAGGACTGCAGGGAGGGCATGCCTGTCACCTCACTGTGAAACCACACTTGTCCATCAGTAGGTCACAAACCTTGGCCACAAGGCACACAGTACAAGTAGGTGGGTGCCAAGTCCAGGGACTAGAACACCCTTGGGATGGGGTTTAAAAATCTCCCTTATCAAGTTGCATGCTTCCCATCTGAAAACATTAAACCTGTTTTTATTGTCCTTTTTTATTAAAGAGCTTTGCTAGGAAAGCAAAAGCCCATTTCAGATCATGACTGGCTGGAACCTTTTTGGACTTAAACACACTCAGCTTCCTACTTTGCAATGGCCTGTAGAGATAGCCAATGCAGAAATCAAATTAATTCTGTTAACTCTTGGTGCCTTTTAAAATATGTCTCTGGTAGTTTTGGATGATGAGCTTCCAGCCTCCTGCCTAATTATAGCTCGATGGTATATTAGAGGAAATCAGATCTTAAATTAGATCTTACAAATGACTTTGGGCAGTGAGAATGTAACCTTCACTTGGGAGTAACACAATCCAGTCCTCTCCAGCTCAGGGTTGTATTACTTCACAGCAAGGGTCTTTAAGTTTGGGAGGATTCTTTTTCTTCTGCTTTTGTGAAAATAGTTCAGAAAGATTGGGAGCAGGTGGCCATGGGGCAAGGCCCTGGCTTCCTCAGCACCTTAGCTGGTTGGACATAGGGGCCATTTCTGCCTCCCTATCCTGCTGGTTGAAAAGTTCGGTACTGCAGCATTCCTGGCTGCAAATGTGTCCCTTTTCCCATGCCAGGTCAGCAGCATCAGGGGATTGCACTACCTGGTGCCTCCTTGCTCTGAGCATGGGTATTTTGGGACCAAGGTCAAATTTGTTAAGCATTTTCCTGTGGTTATATTTTTTTAATGTAATACAGAGAGAATATTCCTGATGTCTCAGATTAACGTAAGGCAGATTGACAGTAAAGACCCAACTTCCAAAACAAATCAAAATGTAGTGGCAGTTCCTACATGAGACCCAAGAATTGGGAGTGACTTGAAAGGGAAGATAAATTAACAAAGCCAGTTCTGTCAGAACTGAATTTGAGACAGTATTATTCATTTAAGGGCAGTTTCACTTTTAAGAAGCTTAGTGTGTTTTAATAAGCCAGGATTGTGCTCGTAACACTACTAAAGAGCTTATATTTAATGCTTTAATCTGTCCCATTCAAACAGCACAATTTCCACGCTACCTACCTTTGCGTTAGCCCATATCCCAGCTAAATCCCAAATCCTGCAAATGAGGCACTGCGCTCTGCTTCCCATCTCATTGTGTTTGGAATCATTCTGTGTTTAATTCTGCAGTGCTGACAAGAAAATGGCTGAATCCCGATCCACATTTATGCTCAGCCCAGCCATCCATGCCTGGGCCTTTTGATGGGCTTGATCAGGGTTTCCTCACCCTCCCACTGTTGTAGCAGCCATGTTGGAGCCTTGCCCAAATTTGTGTAGGAGTACAGGTTTTTTAATGATCACTGCCACTTGCTTCATTAGTCAGGAAGCACCTGAGTGCTGCTGTGCTTCCTCAGAGATGGGGCTATGGAGCCAGCCCAGCTGAATTGCTTGTGCTGGCAGTGCCTTTGAAGCAGCCCCCAGGCAGGAGGTCGGGATTTCAGCTTCCTGGGGTTGAACATTCAGCTGGCTAATGGAGCAGCCTGTCTGTCTTTCTGCAGGCAGAGGTTGTTACAGGAAAGGCAGAGAGTTTTCATTGCACATTGTCCCTGCCAGCAAAATAAGGCTGATTGCCACCCAGGGTTTTTCTCCAGTCATTCAAGTTTGGACTGTTTCATCTCCTGCCTCCACTTTCCCTTTTTATTTTTAAAAGTAGAGAATGTCTATCTAAGGTTCCTAGGCAAAGGGTGAGCTGAAGTTGAATGGGTACTTCACTTAAAAGTACTGAACTAAGATCCTTTTCTAAGAGTTTTCTTTAGTGCACAGGCGATGAAAGGAAGATACTGAAATTTAAAAGAAATTGAAAGAGGAAGGGCAATTCTGACATGGCCTGCTAAAATAGTTGACTTAATCCTTACATTTTTCTGAGGCTGGCATTTCATATTTGAACCCATGATGTATAATTTCTGCACATCTTTTATTTTATTTTTAAACTGTGCTGTTTTCCACTGAGTCTAGGTGAAGAGTAACCTGACGGTTACTCTTACCTGAAGGTGGCCACTCTTAGCCATGGGGTGGACAATCATGACCAAGGCGTTTTGTGTCACAGTAGCTATTGCACTAACAGTGCCTGGGGGAGCTACCCCTCAATGTTACCTCTCGGCTGCCTTTGAGAGAAGCTGAAAAAAAGCCCCACTGAAAGGCACGGGGGCGTCTTTCACCAGCAGCACCGAACTCGTGTTCTCTCCGCACAATCACCTGGAAAACACTACGAGCCAATCCTGCCTTTCCAAGTGCTTCTGTTTTAGGTAGGGCGTGTTCCCTGTTTTAGGAGATGGTTTTGCATGCGCCTGTGTTTTACACGCGGAACTTGTATTATACATTGCATTACATTGTTTAGAGTTTGTTTTACACGCGGAACTTGTATTATGCATCCCATTACATTGTTTAGTTTGTATTTTATGCCGCGAAGCCGAATAAACCGGTTTGATTTGTAGCCCGTGCGCTGTTAATGGATCCATGGAGCCCCTGGCGTGTCTGCAGGGCCTGGCCATTCCCCCGGCCCGGTTTCCCCTTACCGGGAGGCGGCGGGGGGCGGCCCAGACCCTCTCTGCCTCCGTCCCGCGGGGCACCGAGAAACGCCGCCAGCCCCCGGGTGGCGCGGCCTCTCCCCGCGCACAGCATGCGCAGTGCTGATTTCACCGCCTCCCCACAAGCCTCGCGAGATCCCAGGTGACGCCTGGGCTGGGCCGCGTCTCGGGGCAGGCGGGACGATGGCAGCGGCAGCCGGGCGGCTCCTGGCGGCTACCGTGGCTCGCTTGGGGCGTGCGGGCTGGAGCGGGCCGGGCCGGGCCCCGGCCCCGGCCGTGCCGCTGGTGCCCTCCCGGGGCGCCACCGTAACCCGCAGCGGCGCCATTTTGCCCAAGCCGGTTAAGGTGAGTGAGGGGCGAGCGGGCGGAGGCGACAGCAACGGGCGGCAGCGGTGGCCAATCGGTGCGGGCGCAGCTGCTGTGGGTGGGACCGTGGAAGTGAGTGACAGCGCCTGGGACCAATGAGCGGGGGGCTGCGGGCGGGGATGTGGAAGCAGTCGGCAGCGGGAGGGAGACGGGAGCGGCCCCCGAACGTGCGGGGCTCGCCGGGCCCGTGTCCCCCACGTCCCCCGCGTCCCCCCGAGCCAGGCAGCGCTGCGACGCACGGGGGACATCAATACCCGCCTACGCGCCGCCCTTTGTCACCGGCGACCGCCCCCCCCTCCCTAAGCCACGGGTGTTCCCTGCCCGCCCCGGGCTGCCCGCTCGCTGGTGCGGGAGTGTTTGTAACGCTATAATTAATGCGATCATAAAGCGCGGTGCTTGGCATTGCGGGGACGCAAATCGTTCTGCGGGCCGCTCCCCGGGCCCTCCGGGTGCCTGGGGAGCCGGGAGTGCGCCGGTTCAGCCACAGTGCGACTTGCTTGGATGTAAAGATCCACTTTTTACAATCGACTCCTTGCAGACGCCCTTCGGCCTCCTCAGAGTGTTCAGCGTCGTGATCCCTTTCCTGTATGTTGGCACTCAGATCAGTAAGAACTTTGCAGCCTTACTTGAAGAACATGATATCTTTGTCCCAGAGGATGACGATGACGATGATTAAAGGGTATGTCATTAACTACACCAGCAATCTAATTTGTGCTTCCCGTTTGGCTTGGGGCAGGGAGGAGAATCTCAGACAAGGAAATACAGCCAGCAACAGCTTAAAAGATACACTGCAGTTAAAACACATGGACACGGATATGCCTTTGGCTATGAAATTTTTTGTTTCGTACCAGAGTAGGCCAGACTGGTATCTGTGCAATCTCCATGCCAGGCATTTCTTAGAGACTGAAAAAAGTGATGGTGTTTTAGATCTTGCCAGCTGAATCAGAAATAAAATGTAGTCAGTGAGGTATCTGTACTGCAGACAACAGAGAGACTTCAGTGTTCCTACATTACACACCCAAAGAAGGACAGCAGAGCTGCTGAGGAGTCTGAAGCACACCTGCTATGAGGAGTGGCTGAGGGAGCTGGGGCTGTTTAGCCTGGTGAAAAGAAGGCTCAGGGGAGAGCTTATCACTCTCTACAACTACCTGAAAGGAGGCTGCAGCCAGGTGGGGTTCAGTCTCTTTTCCCAAATAACAAGCAACAGGACAAGAGGAAATAGCCTCAGGTTTTGCTAGGGGATGTTTAGATTAGATATTAGGAAACATTTCTTCAGGGAAAGGGTTGTCCAGCATTGGAGCAGGCTGCCCAGGGAAGTAAGTGGTGGAGTCACATGCCCTGGAGGTATTTAGAGGAGGTGTAGATGAGGCACTTAAAGACATAGTTGGACTTGGCAGTACTGGGTTAGCAACTGGGACTCAATGAACTTGAAGGTCGTTTCCAACCTAAAAGATTCCATTATTTTGTTTTACTTGTTTACCTGTTTAAAAGTCTTCTCCTAACACAGAGAATGACTCTTTTAAAACAGAATCATGTACTGTCTGAAATTCTGATATAGGTGAACAATTCAAGAGCATTCCAGAACCCATCAGAACAAACTGTCTGCTGGGTGTTACAACACTGGAGTAGTTGGACCGTTCAGACGTATTGCAGAAAGGAAGAATGGAAATAATTCACCTTTATCTGCACTGTGCTAGACTTTCTACCATTTTCCATTATTCTGTTTAGCTTGCTCTTGTGTAAAGATTTGAGTTTGGGTGTATTTGATTCTTTATAGAACAAAGAAACTGTTTTAAGAGAAGTTGTTGTAAATCATGTAGATTTATAGTCAGTTTGGTGGATGTATTCCAGTTGATAAAGGGGCTTTCCAGCATGCACTGTGCAGCTAAAAGCTAAGACTTAAAAGATTGCAAAGACTGCACTAGCCTGTTGTTAATTCCCTTTATGTAAACCCCATCTTGTGTAGTTTTGGGAGGAGGATGCAGACTGCAGCTCAGTAGTGTATCTGTAACACCTTGTTTTTCTATTTGCAGCACTGGAACAGAAGAACAGAAAGTAGAAAGCCATTGACAAAACAATGGTTCCAACATCTGTCACCTGTGTTTTGCCCTTCCAAAAGGGGACAGGGGGCTTTGTATCCCCTTTTGCCAGTGAGTGTCCTGCACATCTCTGTATGCTGGAAATCTGTAATCAGGGTTGAAGGAAGTACTTGATAGGCCCTGCGTCCTTGCACACACATGCTCACCTCATCAGAGACTGCTTGGGATGCCTTTAATTAGCAACATGGGAAACACTTAATTAAAGACCCAGAGATTGACATGTGCAACTTTGGTCCTGTGTTTTTATACATTATTTGCCTATGTCCTAGCACTTCTGTCTTAACCTTTCTATCTCTGGATGTCTGTTCCAGTAGGGAAGCTCTCTTCATGCTTATTTTCTTAATTTTGAGGCCTTTCAGTAACTCAGTACTGATCTACAGGACATGTGGAATCCTAGGGGAAGCAGCAGCCCCACAACACAGCCCTTTTAAAGAATGGAGTGCACATTGACAATGGCACTGTTCCACAACCTAGCAGCTGTATCTGATGGGGACTCTATCATGAACTTCACCTCACTGAAGATGAAAGATGTATTATCATCACAGAGTTAAAACTCTTGAGTGGCTTTGGTAAAAGGTTGAGTTCACAAGTTGCAAATGAACTTGTTCGTGTGTTTTATAGCATTTCATCGCGTAACACTGGCTCCAGGTATCTAATATTTCCTAGGTAGTTTAGTACTTCCTTCTGAAAGAGCCCTAAGGTATTTGTTTTCTTCACTGTATGAGCTTCAACTCCTCTTTTCATAGAAGTGTTTGCTATTGCACTTAAATCCTTGCATCATAGACTTAAAAGGTCTTCTTTGCTGTTGTGGCATAGGAAGAGTATCTTTAGTCACAGCAGACCAGCTGTTCTCTCAAAATGAAACCTTGAGAGGTTGGTCAGTTTATTTTTCTTAAGCCAGCATTGCCCCAGTGTCTCATCGTTTCTGGTGACTAGATCTGGCCTCTTGATTGCCCACTTCTTCCTTCCTTATTGGTGTTGCTGTTGAATTTGGAGCAGTGTACACCACATTTGTTCCCTTATTCTTTGGCACAGCTTTTAATGTTTGCTCAATTACTCTCCAGCATGGCTACTAGACAAAAGGGAGCCTGTAATCTGAGTAACCCAAGAGCTGCAGCTAAAGGCAGCTGTCAGGTTCTTGAGTCACTTGGTATCTGAGTTGCCCCCTCCTTGCCCAATGCCACCTGAGAAGCAGTTGTTCCAGTTTATCTGCTCTTGGGAGCCAAATATGTACCTACTTCTGTTTGACATGCTGCCAAAATCCTTTTCACTGCTTTGTCCCTCCTGGGCCCCTCCTGACTTCGTCAACCCTCTTAAAAACATGCCAACCCTGGAGCCCCAAGGTAGCTCTGTACACATCCCTGAGGAGTGCTGTGTTACAGTCCTCATGGGGAAGAAAGCCCCAGGACTTACAGGATAAAAAGATGTTTATTTAGGCTGGAAAAAAGAATTTTGAGTGTACTACAAACATCCAGTGCTGGGCACATCTGGAAGAGCACCCAGTTACTTGCTGAAAACCTGTTCTCTGCTGAGAGAATAAATTCTCCTTATCCCTCTCAAAAGGGAACTAGTAATTCCTGATTCAGTGAATGAGGTGATGGCGGGACACCTTCTCCTGCTAGGCTTCAGAAGCTCTTACAGAGCCTTCCTATTCTAGAAAACAGTACAAATCCCCTTTTTCCAGGAAATTTCATTTTACAGCAGAGAAATGGACTCTGCTGATGTTTTATTGCACAAGGATTTATTTGCCTACCATTAGGATATTTTCTCTGTGAGAAATAAAGGAGACTAATGTCCAATAAAAAACACAAGGTCAACAAAGTCATAGGATGAAATTCCAACACACCGCATGAATACACATATACCTCAAGCACAAGAACATTTCTGCCCTTTTCCTCACAGAGCTAACATCTACAGATGGGGCTGCAGGCTAAGCACAAAGACCAGCTGCCAGGCTGTGTTGTGGTTATTCAGCAGACACCCCAGAGCAAGCGATGGGATAAATGCCATCCACTGAAAATACACACTGGCAAAACTAGGAAATGACAGCTCTTCAAACAGATCATAATGGCTTGCACATGCTCTGGATTCGCCTAGTCATTAGGCTCTTAAGATGCTAGAGAATCTCTTGGTATGGATTTTTTTTTTCTATTGTATAGAACTTTATTTGTAATATAAGGCAGGAAGACACAGAGTCAGTTCCTCAGGGATTGTGGCCCGCATAGAATTTGGACAGAAAGTCTTTAGGTTGCGGGGTTTCCGTCTCGTGGAAGTACCGCATGACATGAGTCCTCTGCTTCCAGACATGAATGGTTTCTTGAAGCTCCATTTTTCCCTGCACACACACAAAAGAATTTTAGACTAGTTGGCAGTTAGAGCCCAAGTCTAACCACGCGGTACTGTGAAAGTTATTTGAGTGAACTTAAAAACACCTACAGAAATAATAGCTGCATCAACAGTTCTGTACCCCTACAGCCTGCGTGCATCACCTGCACTGTGACACAAATATATTGTTCCTGCCTTGGTACTTCCATGGATTTCTCTGCAGCACAGCTTCCCAGCCCTGTGAAAGAGGCAAGAGACTCTGTCTCCTTCTTAAAACCTGCTTTGTTTCTTTCCTGACCCGCACCTCCCATAAAATTCTACACAACATTCCTAACTTTCGAGCGCCTCTACTGAATTTGGGTGAACAGTAACACTTCAGCGGTAAAATTAACTGCTGCCAAGTGCTTTGCACCAGTACCACTGCCACTGAGACGTGCAAATTCTTCACAATTTCATTCTTTCGTACTCGTTTTATAGGATGGTAGCACCATCCCATAAAAAGAGCAAAATAAGACTGCCTGGAATTGTCACCTAGCATACTATCTAAGATATTGTTTCCAGATTTTTTCATCTGTAAAGTCAGAGTAATTGTCTTGAAATGCAAGAAACAAAACAGGTGAGCATGGCAGTCATTGTTTGGAAGCTTTCTAATGCATTAGAACTGCAGAGGTGTTTCTGTTGCTCAGACACATTTTCAAGCCTGAGGTGCTGATTATTGCTTTGAAGCAGACAGGTCTCTCAGGCCTGTAACACCATCAGATGTGTTACAGAGCCGGAGTGTTCTGCCACCCAAAACCAGTTTCCCACCAAGTACTGACACTGTAATATGTTTCAGAATCAGCGAAGAAAACTATTTTCCGATCCAATGAAGGACTGTAGAGGGAAGAAAGTTCATTTTTAATAGTAAACTAGTGAGCAGCACCTATTTTCCCTTTGTTGTTAAAAAAAGGGTGAGCAAGCAAGCAAGCAACAAAAAAAAGGAACAAACTTAGTGTTTTAATTGTCGCATTGCTTGACATACACTTGCTGAATTCTAAAGCCACCCGATCCCTTATCAACAGGTTTGCTGACATAGATATTACCAATCCAAGTGCAAGAGACAACCACTCCATAGACAGGCTGGTACAAACTTGTTCCTCTCCTCCACCACACTCACCACCATCAGCCACATTCTCTGCAGCTTCAACAAATCAGAAGTAACTGTGTTTACCTTAATAACCAGCATGTCTATCACGCGTGGATCCGTAACGTGGGCGTTCTTCATGAACATCTCCCGCACCTTGTTCCGCCCCTGTTTCACCGTGATGTCCAGCTGGTACAGGTGCACTAAGAGAAACACAACACCTACTGCGGTCATCCACGACGTTCTGCACTTGTTCCACCAGCAACGCGCAACTCAACCCTAAAATCGCTACACTGTCACTCGTCCGGCTGCACCAATGTCACTAAGGCCGTTCCGACCTTGAGCCCGCGCGGCAGGCCCCGTGTCCCTCACCCACCCGTGTTGGGCACCTCGCGGTACCAGGCCCGGTACAGCTCCCTGACGCGCCGCTTCGCCTCGCCCAGGTCCCGGCTGAAGATCGGCTTCACGGCGGCCGACACCACTCCCTTGCCAGCCACCGCCATCTTGCTGCCGCTGCCACCTTCCCCGCCGCCCGCGGGAACGCGCAGGGCAGGGCAACTGCTCCTATTGGCCAGCTGAGCTGCCACTTCAGCCTTTCGGGCCGGCCGCCTCCTATTCCATTGGTCGGAAGAAACGCCAAACACCCAATCACCGTGCAAGGGACTGAGCAGCTGCTGGCTGGGCCCACACCGGGCCCTGCCTCCTGAGGCCGTGGGTCTGCCCCGCCCCTCAGAGCCCGCTCCTCCCTCAGGGCAGGGCTGGGGCTGTGACTCGGAGCGAGCCATTTGTTCCCTTTGCCCTGGAACGCCGCCATCGGCTGCTGTTCGGTCGGTCAGGCAAGTGGACTTTCTCTCAGTCACTCTTGCGTGCTGGAAAAGACACTCCCTACTTTAGCTATACCCACGTTTTATCCAAATAAGCGAGTGCCGGGACCTCTCCAGAGTTAAGTTCCCTTTAAACACATTGGGGTATGTGCTGGCCCCTATAAATCTGAACCCATTCAGTTCGGTGTCACTGAACAGACCAGAAAAGTAACACTGAAATGATCTTGAAAGGCGCAGGTGCTGGGTGTGAGGAGAGAAATCTCAGGTGAGTTATCTGAGGCAGGAGCACAGCAGGACTGAGACAACCACAAAGAGGAGGGGCGAGAAAGGAGATTTCACATCACTTCTATTCTTTCAAGTTATTTTGTTGATGAAAAACATAAATGTGCAAATGTGCAGTTCCTGCTGAAGTTCAAATCTTAATTTTGTTAGTAAGTATATGCACAATTCCATAACTTTCATAGCTTCCAAAATTACTATTACACAAAATTACTACTGCACACGTGCACTTGATTTCAGATTTATTTATTTTTTTTTTAGTGGTGGTTATAAGTAGGAGCTACTTTGTGCTACTGTCTCTTTAGACATGGTAAGTGGGCTACTCCTATTTTAAACATCAACATATCTTTATATCTTGCAAACAATTTGTCAGGGATATTGCAAGAAGAAAGAGAGAGGCAGCTCTGAAATCTATGGCCATACAGTTTCAAACAGTGTTAACTCCATCCCAAGGTGAGTTCCAAACCTGCCCAAGTGCTTTTGTATTTTTGGCATTTATGTAATGCCAAAAATAAAAGAAAAATAATTGAAAGAGATAATAAATCTAAACACCAGGATTTCTCTTTAAATGTATTTATCAAAATTTCTGTATTTCACAAATGACCTTCTTCTGTGGCCAAAACACCATCTGGATTATTTATGTACTCCTTGGTATTTACTCCTACTGGAGACATAGTGTGACATAAGGGCTGTCAGGATTAAAACTTACTTTCTTTGAGGCTAGAAATGAAGACAGTGCAGTATTTGTTCAACACACAGAAGTGTGTAATAAACAGGAAGGAATGAAGGGGACATGAATATCCTGGATGGTAAGATTTTCCAGAAGCACTAGGCTGAAACTACATTGTAATGTCAGCTTGTTGTTGAAGCTGAAGCTCTCTTGTCTGATTCAAGAAGCACTACTAGAATTAAGCTCAACAAGATACTGGCCTAGATCCTTACTTTACACAGCTGTGGCCTTCTGCACAGACTTGAGATTGAGCATGGCATGATCCTGCCTAGACCTGCAATGTTCCTGACAGAGTTTGGGCGGTGGTGGTCTGTCAGTGGAAGGGGAGTGGTGTGCACCTATCTTGGGAGAGCTCGCAGCAGGTATGGGTGTGGAGAGTTGGTGAGTGCAAAGTGACCGTCCTCCCGTGGCCTGGGCTGGTCCTCAGGGAGCACAAAAGTGAATTTCTGCAGGAGAGTGGTAAAGAAGAGAAAGAGCTCCATCCTGGCCAGCTGTTCTCCCGGGCAGGCACGGCGACCTGCAAGAAAGGGAAGAGGAAGTGTGTCAGAGAGGGCAATAATCGATGCTGGAATTGCCACGGGGGGAGCCAGTCACCCTCCAGCTGGGCTTCTGACCTGCAGCTGGATCCTCCCCTCAGATTTACCTGCTGAGAAGGGCAGGAAGGCCTCTGGTTTCACAAAGTGCCCCTTTGCATCCAGGAAGTGTTCGGGGTAAAACTCGTTTGGTTTCTCCCAGACTGTCTCATCCTTCAGCACCGAAGACAAGTTGGTGATGATTGTGGTCCCCTGCACTCCCCCACAAGAGGAAACAACTTAAGTGAGAACAGCAGCATTATCTTGGCACAACAGAACAGTGTTGGTTTCTCTTTAGTCCCTGAATGCCAAAAACTAAAAGCACCCATTTCCACTTCTGCATCTTATTTGAAGCAGAGGTAAAGCAGGGCCCATTTCCAATGGCATTTTGTGCCTGCCCTACACTCTGAAGCACCCGAACTTTTGCAATTTGTAGCCTTACAGAGGCTGTAGCGTGCAAATGCCAATTTCACAGTTACACAGTGGAAACAGCCTCTGCTTCTCAGATCCTCCTGGACTTGTTTTATAGCTGCAGAGAAAAAGCTGACTGACAGACTTCAAAGCCCAACTTTTGCAGGGACCAGGGAAAATCACAAAGCTTTCCTGTTTCACATGTCAAAGTTCTAAATCAGAGGAGATACCACACGGCTACAAAAAATTACAAAACTATCTCAGGCTTAAATTCTGCCACTGCTGCCAGGGCAGCTGCTTGTCACAGTGAAACTGGTCTGAATGCCAATGGCAACTGAGTAGCTTCAGAGATTAGAATTTAACTCCTAGCATCTCAGGAAAGCCAGTAAGCTGGTGTTCAGTGCCTCCAGAGAGTCTGTTAGGCTGCTTCTGACAGGCAGTGAATATCACGGCTCATTGAGAGGAAAGGAAACCTTTGCGCTGAGCTGCCACTGCAGTTGTGTTCCCATACAAGAATTGTGAGCCTAGAACACAGATGTGACTGTCTGCCTGAATTTAGCATTTCAAAATGTCCTATTTTAGTGCTCAACAGTGACTGTAATTGAGGCTGGAAGTGCAATGCTGCAGGGTTGGATGCGATCATCCCCACCTGGCAGCTGCAAAAGGAGAGGTTGCTGTGTTGCTTATGTGGTCACGGTCACCTTGGGAATAAAGAAGCCTTGCAACTCGGTGTCCCGGTATGTCATGTGAGGTAACCCAACAGGAATAATATCCCCGCAGCGTTGCACTTCATGGATCACAGCATTAGTGTAAGGCATGCTTGCTTGGTCCATCATGCTGGGGGGTCTCTCTCTGCCAATCACTCTATCAATCTCTGCCTGGACCTTACCTGAAAGCAGAAGAGATAAAGAATTAGAGGACTCTTAGAGGACCAGAGGCAGCTGGTACAAGCTGAAGGAAGACTGGCTGCATGAGATTGTAAGCACTGTGTGAGAACAGGACAAGCAGTTAGAGACAGGAAGGCACTTTTCAGTTGATCGGTGGCTATGTATAACTGTTCTTTGCTCATAGCACCCTTATCAAGGCCTTATACCTTACACCTTACCCCTCCTCTATGCAGCTTGAAGGGTAGCTGGCCGAGTAGCATTAGAGAATTTAAACCAATCAGCATCTATTCCAAATATTGGAAGAGCCTACACTGACCACAGCCAGTCCCCAGGTGAAGCCCTCAAAATGAAGGCAAGAGCGAATTTGCCCTTCAAACTCCAGTCTTTTTATCATGGCTACCCCCTGCCAGAACAGCTGTTTGGGAAGTGTTTCTCCTCTGTTTCTGCTAGACCAACAATCATCAAAGCAGTTCCTCATTGTGTAATCCTTGTGGAAAAATGAGTCTTGAAGGGAAGAGGCTACATTTCTGTAGGTAAGTTTCTGACTTACTCTGTATTTCTGGGTGGATCAGCATGTACAGCAATGCCCACCGGAGAGTGGTGGAGGTGGTCTCAGAACCAGCTGTAAACAAATCTTGGACAACCAGACGAAGGTTGTTATAGTGGAAACCATTCTCTTCAGCTGCCTTACCCTGTGGAGAGCAAAAAACTGGGTGATTGGAGCTGTGGTATTTGTTGGGGAAGAAGATCACTGTCCAGAGAAGTGCTGAGAAGCACTGGATCCATTTTTTAGCATGCGTTCCTGCTTTTTATTGGAAGAGTAGAGCACAGCACAAGCAACAGTCTGAGCATGAGTGATGTACTTTGTAACTCTGTTCCCTCCTGTATTTGAAGGTCCTCAACCACCTCCAGTATACTCAGAGAAGAATGCTACTCCTGCCTTCAGGACAGAAGTAAACACCTTGTGCCTTCAGCTCAAACGGACAGCAGGCCCTTGCCACTCACTGTAACATCTTCCCCCAGAGGAGGTGGAGCACAGTTATTCAGGTTTGATCAGATGATAAAAGCTACAGAGTAGAGAGGAGGCTGCATTGATGTGGCAAATGCAAAGTTAGCATTATTTTCAGGGGGTTATCTCTAGCTATGCATTACAGATTCTCACTGCTCCTGCCCTGGTGTTTTCTTACTATTGAAAAATAAAAGATCAGGGCTATCAGGTTAAAGGATTATTGCTTCCTACTAAATCTGCAACACCACTTCTAGCAAAACTAGTCTCTCATCCAAATGCTAATTGAGCTCAAATTTGTTAGCATATGAGATATGACAAGCTCTCTGCATGAGTTCATCTGCTTGTCTTTTCTAATCCTCTGTATACTTCCCTTTCCTAGGGACTAGCTTCTATCAAGTTATTCTGTATATTTAGATGCTGTTGTAATATGGATAGCAATTAATAATGCATTTAAGACTCAACTGTTATTCCAATAAATGATCTCAGACAAGGGAGTTTGGGACGGACTTGACCCAAGTTAACTCAGGAGAGGGATTTATCAGACTGGTGCTCAGGTGATGTTAGTGAACAGAAGAGGGATGTGACAAGAGACAGCACCCACCCCCAGGCTGTACTGCTCAGTGCAGAGTAACGTGGGTCACGTTGCTCTGCCCATGGGCTGGAGGTGCCCGACCCCCACAGCATGGCAGGGTTTGTAACGCAGAGCAGCAGTGCAGTCTGAGGACTTGGATGGGGGAAGTGATTTGCAAGCAGAATTTGGTAATATTGCTCATCTGGCATTTGAAATGTAGTGAATCCATGTGCAGAAACATATGGCAGATGGACAGGCTGACCCAAATATCTTTGATTTTATACTGACTTTGTGCCTGACTGC